GCTTTAGACGACCGACGTAGAAAGTTGGTTGGAGACGCATCGACGAAGGGATGTCCAGTTCGTAGGCACCCCATTCACTATAATTACTTTAAATGGACCAATATACCGTGGTGCTAGTTTCGGTGTGCCAAGATTTGTCACTGATGCGTTGGTTATGCTTGTCGTCAAAAGTAGAACCAAATCACCGAACTTATACTTCTCAAGGTTCTTGCGTCCACGCTGGTCTACAAACACCTTCTGCTTATCGATAGCAGCGGCAATGACGTCGCGCACAATTTGCGCGACAGATTGACGATATATTACAAACTCGTCGAACAACGTAAGTCCCACAGACGGACCCCCGATGAAGTTTGAGCTGCGCATGCCGGAGAAAAAATGTTCTGTGACTTAAAAAGGGGTTTGCACCGCATGTAGCGAGACGAGTAATGTCTTATTCGAGGACGTCAGTGGCACCGAGACATTCGTTGCCCCTCTCCCAACAAGAGTAGAAGAATAGGCCAAGACAAGAAGAGCCATGACGCGCGGATAGCGGGCGTTATTCTCGATAACGGGAGTTTAACCAGTCGAAGCGTGAACATCATTGTTTATCGCGAGCTCAGTCATGGGGAGGAACTCGATCCATGACGTAAAAACCGTGGCGTAAATGCGCATAACGTCCTCCAACACGCGATTGATTCGCTCGGTTTATCCATCCGTTTCAGAGTGCGCGGTGGTAGACATCATTAGACGAGTGCCGAAAATCTCGAACCAGCGAGACCAAAACGTGGCCGTGAATTAAGTATCGCGATCAAATACGACCGTGGCGGGCATGCCATGATTTTTGAAGACCATGTCTACGAAGAGAGCCGCGATATCTTTGACCGTGATGAAAGCAGCGACATGTGAGAGATGCGCCATCTATCTGAATCTGTCCACGATGACTTATATGCCTGTGCACCCCTGCGCATTGGCTTGCAACCCAAAAACGAAATCCAACGCTCACGGAATTATAAAGACTTGTGGCTATTGGTAGAGTGCAAAGCGGGGCATGTGCCGACGGGGTCGCCTTCACACGCTGGCACATATCACAGGACCGAACCTAGTTGCGGACCCATTCATACATGTGATGTCAATAAAAAAATCCGAAACAGCGCGACATACGTCTTCTCGCGACCCAGATGGCCGCTTGTGGCGCTATCGTGGTGCTCGTGGAGAACACGAGCACCAAGATCATCGTAGAGTGGGACGATGATACGAGGAGTGTTAAACTGATCAACTTGATACTTCTTGCCATCGAAGAAGTACCGCGCAATGTGAGCACGAGTGGAAGCTGAGAGCGAGCGCAATGCTTCATCTGAGGGGTCGCTACAGTAGCGGACGATCGGTGAGTAAAATAAATCACGTGGATAAGCCTCTGCGATGTCATCACGCAACCGTGGTATTTATTTTAGGCTTCAAACACGCGATGCAATTGTCGTCATCCACGTCCGTCGTGGCTACAGCTTTTCTACGTTCGCGGGTGTCATAGACGGGTCTCCGCGATGAAGCATCTGCAATAATATCTGTTGATCCAGGCTTGAAAGGTACCACAAAGTTGTACTCAGCGAATAATGACAATTAGCGCGCCATGCGATGGCTGTCATGAAGGTCTTAGTCGCAATTCGTAGGGACGCATGATCGGTGTAGATGATGAAAGTCTGCTCTTCAAGCAGGTAAACGTAAAATTTCAAGATTGCGTAGCGCATCGCTGTCGTGAACTGAGAAATTCGCGTGGTGGGTTTTACGAAACTTATCTTTTGACAGATGCTGCACTTTTGCGACCACTTGTATCCTGGAAAGCGAGATAGCTCGCTTTTTACATAAGAGAGGTCCATTTTCTCTATATCTTTGCTCTCCTGTTGCCTCGGCGGACGATAGGATCACGAGTGAACATGCGACTGTTGTAGGCTGAAGTCCTTCAGTTCCGCTGCAGCGATCACTTCATCGAGCAATTCTAGTTCCAAGCAGAACGAGGTGGATCATGACGGGATCATCTGCAAGACACTTGATGAACACGTGACCTGTGTAAGCACCTCGCCATTTGTATCGTAACAAACCAATAAGGTTTAATACGATGCAAATAGCGGCTGTTGTCTCAATAGTTCAGACTATTGATAACACAACCACATCAACAAGTCAGCTTGTTGGGCGCCTTGTTTTCCTTACAGGTACACCTGTTGAGCCACACGCTCCTGTATTAAGGTAAGCTTTTTCATCGCGTCTTCAAGTTCATGTTGAATGAGCTTGGTGATGGTTGCATGTTGCTCATCTCCTACTAGAGAGAACAACATTAACCGAAGGTGGCATTGCCGGCAAAATAATTCATACACTGTACCGCTTGCCATTCGAGATCACTCAAATGCCATAAGTCTTCATGCGATGAGTGATGACATTCCACATCGGCTGGTTACATGGCGGATGGATCGATGATCGTTCGAAGGACCACAAAGTACTACCAGGTGTGACGGGGCACCCATCAATTACACTGACACAGTATACCCTACCTACACTGATGACAGTGTAAGCAGGTGCGCCGAAACCTCACGTACACGAGGTTAGTAGAGGAACCTATCCTCATGAACAAACACGCTTAGAAGTAGGGGAAAAGAGAACTTTATTTTTTATCGTTGAACTACTTAATAAAACAAATCTGTTATAACATGTGTTACTTATGTGAATATACAACTATGTATGTCGACTTCTTGTCCTTCACTCATTGCGCGCGTCCATCCTTCATTGGCCAGTTAATATCATGGCCTATATCAACCAGTGAGAAGGGTATTAACGATAATGTTATCCTTTTAAAGGTAATAATGCTCGATATTTCTAGTATATCCTCAAATATTAGTTAAGATAACATCAGAGACTATTAATAGCTAAGATAATATAAAAGAATACTATTTGCTAAATTAATATTTTCATTGGCACGTAATGTTTGTGCCAAGGATATGTAACAAACATACTCCGTCTCATAGTATCCCACCCGGAGCGAGAGGCAGTAGGTCACCCGTATTGTGGTGATCGGGGTATGAATACGCTTCAGACGACTTGTTGTGCGCATCTTTGCCAAAGTACGGCTGAGGCAATGAGATTGGCAGGTGAGTACCCGTGCCTTGGACGCATCAAGATGCTGCCTGGACGCCATTTTCCCGACAGCTGCATCGATACCGTTAAACTCAATGCACGATTACCACGAAAGCTCTACTCAAGACAAACTGGTCCAGATTTAAGAAGAAGGATGTGAGTGCATACAGTCATAGCAGGAGTCGTCTGTATTCGTGATCCAGTAGTTGATCATTGAAATCTCTGAGAGCAAGGTAGAGCTGAGCCGTGACAACGAAACCCGCTATCTGAATTATCCTTAAGGTCATTTGTCGGCAATAAACTCGGTGAGGAGGTTTGTAATGGCTGCCGCAATCAAAAAGAAGAGTGCAATATCTGCGTTAAGGTGTTTATCGAAGCCGTAAGTATCTTGCACACGTGTAGGCGTGACGTCGAAAAGGAACCAGCTTGCACCAAAGAGTTTGTGCTGTAGCGAAAAGTTCTCTTGCACTTTATCTCATAATTTGAGTCTGCACGATATCTACGATCTCTCTTCTTCTGGTTGATGGGCAGAGTAATGTGCGATGGTGATAGATCTTCGCTGGAGTTGAAATGACGTCGCAGCACGAGCAATCCAGGAAATTACCGGTAAGCAGCAGAACTTGCCACTTGATGGATCGCTGAGTATTCAAGGACAGTATGATGGAGTCCATGAGCGGTGCAAGTAGCTGTCCGATGCCCTGAACATGAAACACCGCCGCCGCAACTTTGATCGTCTTAAGCTCATCATTACTGTCGATAGTATCTGTCAAACCTCGAACATGTAGATACACTTTTCTGATCATTTCTGCTTACTTTTAGTGACTGACAGTACAAGCTTATTGTTTATGCCTGCAAAGGACATTGGTCCCGGTGAGGAACGTGTAAAAACTAACGCCATTTGGTCGTTGCAGTAGAAGCTGTCAATGTGATCGACTTTGTATTGAGGCGCAGTCTCCTTGAGACTGCAAACGACTATTCTGCAATAAGAACCCATCAAGCGATGTTCGCAAATCACCACGGGTCAAAGCACAACTGCAGGAATTCGACCCCGGCAGATTAAAAGTGCAAGACTTGACTTATGAACGTCAAGTGTAGGAGATTTACGGCTAGTACAACTATCAGCAGGGTTCTGCTGAAGCCTGTGCGCTTCAAACGACACATCAACATCAAAAGTAGTAAGACAGAAGATGGATGTGCTTGTGAACGGCATACTTTGCAGCTGTCAGTTGTCAGCAATGAGAGCTTCGCGAGTAATGAAAGTGGACTTGGATCCAGCCAAGTCGTTGTTGGTGAGGGACCTTTGTCCTGCATGTATACATGCAAAATGTAATGCATGTCCATCAAACGTCAACTGCCTCGACTCGAGGTTGACAACAGCTTGAAGTAAACAAGGAAATGGAGAAGAAACACATTCACAAAAAAGCACGCGGAGTATTCAAGCGAGAAACCATCCGTTGAGTACTAGACCAGCCTCGGTCCGGAAAGCCGTCTATCTTGCACGTTCTAGCCGGTAAGTTCTTCATTAGCGAGAGCGGCACGATCAAAAGCGACACCTTGTACAACGGACACAAACAGATACAATTTATCTACTCCAAGCTGAGCAGATTCGTGTACGCTGCGATTAGCGCAACAGGGACATTGCTGCAACTCTTGATCATTCTGCCAAAAGATCACGGTATATTTATGGACGACCACATCGATTATTTTACTTATTATAATATCAGATACCCAATTTCAATAGTAGCATCGACTAAAACAATCCTAATTTTGTGCTATTTCACTGAATTGAGCCAATCAGAATCCCATATTGTGTTTCTTTAAACAGCTTTTTGTGTCTATTAGAAGACATAAAGTCAGACCAGAATGGGTCTGACTATTTATTGACAGTCTCATTTGTCATGTATAAGCTGATGCTGGGGAAGTACACGGCGTTACTGAGCTGCCTGTTTTATCAACAACGAACAGAGGCCGCTAGTGCACACTACTCGCTTAACTTGACGGGTATCGCATCGGGCACAGGTGCCAGTTATTGACGTACAGGAGATACTTTGTCCGGAATTTTTGACACACTTTTTGTTACTATGCAGCGTACACGATCACTATGAACATTGGCACATTAAATGGCTTGGGATCTTCAAGAGGAAAGGTACGCAGTCATTATAATACGTCTGGTTGTTCATATTTTTCGAGGTCTGTTTGTGACGAGAGCGGTCTTTTTGTCGTTATGGGCAGAATACCTTTCGACTGATCGCAGACACGGGCTCTTCGAATGACGCAGTGATTGGATATGGGTGTTGTGGTGATGACGCTGAAGTGACGTACTCATGTGATGCATCATCGACCTGCATTAATAGTGGGGGTGGTGTGATTACTTTAGCATTTGCAGGAGCCAACATAAGGTAAGATACTGTAGTTTTGACGTGAGAGATGTTGATTGCTGATCTGTGGTTGTATTGTGCTGTAGAGGAGAGTTTATGACGGATATATGGTCATCTAGTGACATTGGCAGTATTTCCAAGACTTTCTTGGTCATTGAGGAGCAAGACACGTTCTATCGATCCACATACGACGGTATTACTGGCTTGGCGTATAAGGCTTTAGCAGCATCGACGGGCGAAACTGTGTCGTCGTTATATAATGTGTTGGTGAGTACGGGAAAGACAGAAGATGCATTTGGAATGCTATTGTGTGGCACGATGCAGCCCATGTTACAGACGGGAGGGACCAGTTTCTCGCGCCATTCCGGCCAGTTGATGATTGGTGGCACGGAAGGCCCTAATGGAGAGGTTTACTACATGGGAGATATGTTGTACACTCCGATTACAAGAGTGCGTGTATTTTGTGCGGTTTATGATACGGTCAGTCCTGCGTGAGCTGACCACGAGCTATTGCTACTTGTACTTTGTATTCATTTAGGAAGCATGGTATGTTGTGACAGTAACGGACATTGGATATAACGGTGCGAGTCTCGGACTTTCGTGTGATAAGTACAACGATCCACAGGCCATTCTCGATTCTGGCACAAGCAATTTGGCGTTTCCGTCGGATGTGTACAACGCTCTTATGGACCAGATCAAAGCGGCAACGTTGAAAGCTATACCAGACTTTGACACCAGTTACTTTGACGACTCAACTTCGTGCTGTGACGAGGATTACTGCGATCCGACGTCGTCGAACGCTGCGTTGTTGCTGTTGCCTTCTATTTACTTCACTCTTGGAATGGAATCGAGTGATGGGTCCACTAAGAAGCACTTTGTTGTTGAGATTCCGTCTGAGTACTACTGGCGACCTGAAATGAATGGCGCGAACTCTGATACACCTTGTCGCGCAATCGGCATCTCCGAAGGAACTTCAACTGTTCTTGGCGACGTATTTATGGATGGGCTATACTCGTATCACAATCGAGCGGATGGAAAAATTGGTCTAGCCGTAGCTGACAACTGCCCAAATAGCATCAGCTCGAGCAAGAAAGTTTATGCCTCCCGTGATAGCGGTGATTGGTGTTCGTGCTTCTCCAGTGCGCTAAAAAGGAGAAGTTCATGGAGTACATACATTCCGTGGGGCCATGGATGTTTTTTCTTGCAATGGTGGATGTACGTGGTGATTGCCAGCTTTGTGGTCGTGATTGCCTTTGTCTGTGTATTAATTTGGTGGCAAAGAATCAATAAACGTATGAAGAAACTACAAGACGAGTCACGCAGAACCGGCAGCAGCGGTGCCCGCACAGTTCGCTTTCCAACGATGCAATTGTCTGGCTCAGACACAAGACAAGCACTATCACCTGCGTCCCCGTGTCATAATAACTACACAGCGCCTGCGTCAACACCAAAAAGAGCGTCTACTCGTTCTGGTGAGTCCAATTTTGGGCGGAAGTCAATGCAGTCGTCAAAATCTCACAATAGTCAGTCGGAGCAAAGGGGGAAGGATGTACCAGTGATGGCTGAGTCCAAATATCTCAGCATGAACTCGCCTCTGTCACCATTATCTTCAAGGTCCAGTATCGCGCTACTTTCGGAACCAAATTCGTCAATTAGCTCCGTCGATAGCAGAAAACCGATGTCAAAGCCATTTTCCAATAGCTCTCGTTACAATTCGAGCTACAGTTCAAACTACAGCGATCGATGGGGTGCGTCGTTAAAAGAAGACGAGTTTTAGGCAATGCATAGCAGCGTTAGTAGAGGTATTAATAATCGACAGTGTATTATAATATAATCATATATATATTTACATGAATGATGTGAAGATTATTAATACAATGTTAACTACATGTTACTAGTTGTACTTTTGTAATTACTTCGAAATGCAAAACCCTAACCTATCGATTGACAACATCTTAAGTAACATACGCTGAACAAAAACACGTGAATAACCTTCTACTGTAATACTACTGTATAAACTAAAGCTGTTTACTACTCAATATGACAGGTTTCTCCACTCGTAGTACGATCACCATGTCGTGTCATGTCGGAACCTTTCCCTTTTATATTTAATATATTCAATACATTGCATTCTCTCAGGTTATCAATTCCTACCGACCATACTTGTTTCAAGTGACGCAAGACGTCTGCACCGAACGTCTATAGTCAGTGCACGTTTGCTCGCACAATCAGCACAACCCCATCATTTTGTACACACTCACGAGTATCCCTCTTCTCCCATGGCGGACCCCCGCAGCCATTTGACCAATAGTCAGGAAGAAGATCATTTAAGTCCACACGAGTTTGTACAGCGACAGATGGAAAAAATGCGCAGTTTAGACGAGAGTGAGAGTGCATCGATCCTTGAGTCGGCACCGTCGCATCGTAGCAGTAATCACAGCGGGACCAGTGAAGTTACTGCGAATAGGACGGTATATGAGAAGCTGCAGGCTTTGGTTTTGGCCGAACATATTAAATCAGACGAACCATCAAATTCTGGAGGTCCTTTTAAAACCGATGAAGACGACGAAGACGACGATGATACATATGAAATCTCATGGGATGGAGGACCTTTGGGTCTTTTATTCAAAGCAAATGCTAATGGAGAACCGGTTATTCGACGGGTTAATAAGAAAGGAGCAGCTACAGGATTGCAATATGCTCGAGCAGGAGATGTATTGCTTGCATTGAATGGTGTGAGTGTATCAGCTACACCATTTAGTGAAGTGATTGAACGACTCAAGACTCCGGAATTTCCTGTGAAGTTGGATTTCAGACCTTTAAAATTAAGTGATTTGGCATCTGCTGCATCGGAAGCGACGACCAAGTGGGGACTGCCACGTACAGGCTCTTCGATTCATAGTAGTGACGCGACGTCAGTATTTTGTGGTTCACCAGTGTCGTCAAATGCGACAGTGGATCTACGTAGCCATCGAGGAGGAGGATGGCGAGATACGTCATCTACATATATACCAGAAGCTCCAACTGATGAGCCGACAAATGTCGAGTACGATGTGGTGTGGAATGAAGGTCCACTCGGGTGTGAATTGAAACAGCGAAATGGGTTACCTACAGTCAAGTCAGTAACGGGTACGGGAGTGACGCCGTCTGTGGCACAGATTGCAATGGGAGACATCCTCGTTAGTATTAATGGGTTACGGACAGAGGAAATTGGGTTTCGAAGCACAGTGACGCTTATGATGCGAGCGACAAAGCCAGTTTATCTGCGGTTTCACCGGGGTGGTGCACGTCAGACCGGAAGTAGCTTTAGTGACCTACCACCAAGTTATAGAGGGCCACAGAACAATAGAGGATCGATGCAGGATGCTCTTGGATCAGGCGGAGAAGTAGCTGCGTTGGATTCGAAGCAGTATACGGTATTATGGCGTGACGGCCCATTAGGTATCCAGATTCGCACCTCTAGCAAAGGTTACGTGGTCGTGGCACGGCTCACAGGTGCAGGCGCCCCTAACGTTAACGATACGGTGAAGCCAGGTGACATTTTTTTACGCGTGGCCGGAGTCGATGTTGATGCATTAGGCATTGCTGGCGCTTTTGAACTACTAAAAACGGTACAAAAACCTGTCGTGCTTGTTTTTCGGCGGCGCGGGCGTGGCCAATCTCGCTTGACCTCGCGCAGTAGGCATTCTGGTCTACCTTCGCCAGCACCAGCACCAGCACCTTTGCCATCGTCTTCAGCAGTACCTTCGTTTCGGCAATTGCGCGAAGACCAAGCGGCAGCCGCTGGAACAGCGGGCCATTCGCCCATTGTTCAGACAAACGGCGGTGGTTTTAGCCCAGCACTGCAAAGCAACAGCCACGAGGGATCAGTGAAGCAGTTTGGGGGCGCAAACTCGCATGAAGTAGAGAACTACGCAGCGTCCGAAGATTGTACTAGCCAACAGAGCTACGATTATCTTAGGGATTCGCCGCGTTCGAATGCGTCTCACCAGCATCCTGGCTTCGTTAATGTTGATGATGTCGCCCCGGACGATGGCCTACCGAACTCTTCGCATGTACCGCTTCCGCCGCCTTTCCCAGGCACAAACTTTCCTGAAACAAGAAACGTTGACGATGATGATTATCCAGAGGAAGATAGTTTTCCGCCAGAGATGTCTCAGGATGAGAGCCCGTCACTTGCGGGATTGCCTCCACCTCCATCTTACATGGACGTATTTACGGCTTCAGGACGGGCAAAAGACGATGACGCAGAGGCGCCTTCGTCTTCTTACGGATACTATGCTGGCCAGTTAGAACGTCCTCCACCTTTCGAAGCCCACAGCATCGAACCGCTGCCTCTTCTTCCTCAGCATACAGCAGCCCCATTGCCTCCGACTGAAGAAACCCCTTCTTTAGTTGGCCAGCCAAGCCGGCTACAGGAGCTTCGGCGCCAGTACATTGAGTCAGAGCGGCAACGTAACTTGCTGCAGAATGGGCACGATACGATGGTAAGCACTTACTCGGATATCGATGACTCTGGGCTAGTGGTGCGCCATCAACCCTCCTATGCCAACGGCTCAGCGCCAGCTAGTACACCGTCTCCTCAGCTACCGTTACCGGAGCTGTGGGTACGCTGGAGTGATGGTCCACTTGGTATCACATTCAAGCGTAAGAATGGGCAGATTGTGGTGTCACGACTAACTGGCTCGGGTTATTCATCGGGACTGACACAATTACGACCTGGTGACTGGCTGGTGTCATTCAACAATCAATCCACGCGCAACTTGCGGCTTGGCGAAACGATGGAACTACTGAAACGCTTGCCGAAGCCTGTGGATATGTGCTTTATCGTTCAGTAAGGGACGGAGCAAGACAAGAGCGGTAGAGCAGCACGAGAGTCTCAGAATCGTCGGAAGATCTTGCAGAATCACTTAATACTGCGGGAATAGCCCAGAGTGAGTCAATAGTGAATATCTCACCATCGATTGATCGCTTCTAAACCTTACGCTGCATACACATGCCAGGCCTTGTCATCCTTGTACCACATGCGACTATGTGGTGGCATTTCTCAATGCACTAGAATGTCGACTGATTTGTGCGACTCTGACTCATCCCCATTCATTTACTGAGCGAGTGGTTCACAATCTGCTTGGAGAGGACATGCCCACAGGCCTTTGTGCCGGTCAAGTCCCTTGTCAACGTTATCTCTCTCTCTCTCGAGCCTTCACTGGCTGCAAAAAAAGCGATCGCCGCTTGTTCCCATGGCGACCGTCGATTTTTCCCTTGATGCTGTCACACAAGACGAGGATAAGGACGTGACCGACAAGAAGAAAAAGAGCTCGGTTTCGTTATTTGCAGCGGAAGAAATGGCAATGACAAATGTTTACGAGATTACAGAGAGCTCCTCGGACGAGAGTGTTAGCGACACGTTATCCAGAGCTTCCAGTGGAACGAGAGATAAGACCGTGGTGGAGAATTTAAATGCTAAAGCAGCAGTGATTACTGAAGACCAAGCTGTAGAAGAAGGTGAAAAGGAGCTTAAGATAGTGGGGAAGACACACGCAAGGGTGTGTACACTAGAGCCAGAGGAACAACTTTACAAGACAAAGAATGTGGCTGATATGCAGTATCTGTTCACAAACGACAAGTTAAAGGACGGATCCCCGGCGATTGTATTGAAATCCGATCCGTTTTGTATCCCAAGAGTGACGGACAATGTGCCCAACTATCGGCCAATGCTTAACCCACTGAGTATTTTTCTGGGTGAAGATCAGTTACTGCCAGGAAACTTCAGATTGGACCCATTGGAGCGACCACCAAAGGCAAGTGAGAAAGTGGTGAAGCAGGAGGGGACAAATATTGGACCTAATGGAATTCTGCCTCCTCCTAGTAGCTCGTCATCAACATTAAGCACGGGGAAACAGTTTCGCGGAAAAACCAGCGCCTTCATGGGAACTATGCCTCGACAAACGGAGTTTGCAGAAATTCCAGTACCCGAGAAACTTTTCCAGAATCATGAACTATTTCGCCCTTTGCCGCCGATTTCGAGAGTCCCAACATCACCTCAAAGAGATGACCGACCGGCGCCAATGAAACAGAAATCAGGCAACAAGCTATTCACTTCAAGCAGTTCTGATGGCGAACAACAATCGATATCGCTAACCACAGATATGGTTGCTACCCCTGCTTCACTCTCCGATGCGATGCTACTATCATCCATCCAGCATACCCTTGACGTCACAACGACTGCTCTGACAGCGACTAGTGGTTCTATGCTGCCACTAGATCGTGGTGCCAATTCTGCGCCGTCACTTTCTGATGAGGGTCCTACGTGTCAGATCCAGCCACTATATGAGGGAGGTCCTACTTGTCAGATCCAGCCACTTCAACCGCTGGATACCGTTGTCGATACGCTCGCTAACTATCTACCAAGCCGAAGCTCGTCTAGGCTGGACAGTAGCAGACCCGTGGACGAACAGCAGTTTGATCCAAGCGGAGGGAACAATCCGATGAGCTATGCTGTCGGTGTCTCTGGTGCATTTGGCAGCTTGCTCTCAGCAGTCGAACATCAAACCAGTAGTAGCCCATATGCTGGTCTTTTCATCGACAGTGGTGCGGCGGAACCTACCAACCTGACCATGCAGACTTTTTCCTCAGCACTGGGCTCAATTTTTATCACTACGCCCACACACACTGCAGCTGGCATAAATGCGGGCCTCATCACACCGCAAGGACGATCTAGCAAAGTAACTATACGTCGTCCAGGAGCGAGGAAGCCGCGTGCAAAGAATGTATTCCGACCGTGTACTTCATCAGGATGTACAAAGGGTGCACGAGGCAAATCCGGGCTGTGCCAGAAACATGGTGGTGGCAAACGTTGTGCTGCACCAAACTGCCCGAAAGGTGCACAGGGAAGTAGTGCCATGTGCCTTTTTCACGGAGGTGGTTATCGTTGTACAGTGGAAGGGTGTACCACAGGCGCTCGCGGCACGTCAGGCCTCTGTGCGAAGCATGGTGGCTACAAAAAAGGCAAAGCTAGCTCTACGGGTAAGCGTGAACCGAATGTAGGCGTTGCAGTGAAGCGTATACGCACCGATCATTCACAGCAATCACCTGCTCTAGTTGACGCAGAATAGAAACAAACCGTATTTAAATTGCCGTTCTCATTCAGTGATGTGAATTGCGCGTGCACAGCAATCCATGTCTTGGTGATAATGTGGCATTGCCGATCGTCGACGAGCCTACAAGTTTTTGAATTTGTTGGTAGCGTCCACCAACTCCTTTGCAATACCGGACTCCATAGCGGAGTGGCCGGCGGTCTGCACCACGCGGAAGTCAGCCTCCGGGAAAGCGTTGTGAAAATCCCAGGCCGTCTTCATCGGGCAAACGACATCGTATCTGGTAAGAAATATACATTTGTCATACATACATCACCACTACGATCAAAACTTTGGTGCCTATGCCTCGTAACAATACCTTCCCTGAACGATAACCGTAGGAATGTGACGAATCTTGTCGACATTCTCGTTCAAAAACTCGTCACTAGGAAAGAAGCCCTTGTTAACGAAATAATGGTTCTCAATACGAGCAAACGCTTCCGCAAACTTTTCTTCATTCATTGACTTGTCCGCAGCATCCGTCTATAGCCATCCAGCAAAGCAAAGTGTTGTAACATACAAAACATCGTTCACTTCTCAAGCAATATTTCACCAACGAAAAACTTACCGGAGGGATCAAGTTGCTAGTGGTCTTTTCCCACGTTGTCCAGGCAAGTGCTGCAGGGATTCGGACCTTTGGGTTGTCACTGGAAAGGCGTTTATGGTATGCCATCAAATAATTACCACGCTCTTCCTCTGGAATAGCATCACGGTACGCCTCCCAGCGATCCGGGTAAATGAAGTTGGCTCCGTGCTGGTAGTAAAACTCAATCTCTTGTTTACGAAGATGAAAAATCCCACGCAAGACCAATTCCGTCACTTGTGTTGGATGTTTAATAGCATAAGCAATTGACAACGTGCTGCCCCAAGATCCCCCAAAGACCTGCCACTTGTCAATCTCCAAATGACGTCTCAGTTTCTCCATGTCTTCCACCAAATGCCACGTTGTATTGTCTTCAAGTGATGCATGAGGTTTACTACGTCCCGAACCACGTTGATCCAGTAAAATGATACGGTACATCCGTGGATCATGGTACCGTCTCATATTGTCCGAACAACCAGCACCCGGGCCCCCATGGACCATGATAACGGGTTTACCGTATGGATTTCCACATTCTTCATAGTATAGTTCATGCATTCGAGAGACCTGAAGAGTTCCCGTGTTAAACGGTTGGATACAGGGGTACAGATAATCCTCAGCACTTGCTTGATCAAATGACTTGGTGGCCGACTCTGAAGATGCAGAGGTCGAATAACTCACAATCAGAGACGTGAGTGCTACGGCTGAGATCGCTAGTGTCACATGACGCGTCTGTTGATGTTTATTCTTCACGAGAATAGTCACAGGATGCGAGTGGGTGTTCCTACTGCTGAGTAGAGTAAGCATCGGTAGTATCTTGTTGCTAGTGCGACGTAGAGAAAAGATCTTGGCCAACATCTTGAGAGATCTAAAAGCTTCAAATTTAACAGTGTGGTGATGATTCAATAACGAGTCTCATACAAATTGAGAGATACGATATTATTGTAAATTCTGCTTGAGGTCGATGCTGTGGCAGCTGCATCCGACGTACCCTTTTCCTTATCTTACACTTTTGCTCGTGGAATCGACTGGTTCATGAGAAGCAAGAAGAGGGAATCGACGGATACAATTCACACGATTCACTTTTTCTTCTTCAGCATTTTCTTGTTGCGCATATCCTCTCTGAAATCTTCATATTCACCATATAGAGCACTACAGAGCAATAAAATAGCATCAACATGTGAACAAGCTATTTCAACCGATTCTCAACAACATCACACAACGTACCTGCGCTTTTCTTCTTTCTGAATCTCGTCAAATGAAGCCTCCATGTTTATTGAATCGTCAGACTCGATCGAATACCGCCGCTTTCGGTTCTTCCGGAACATTGCTGCAATATGACCCGGACGATATTCACCATCGTCGCTCACCACAAAGCTATCGTCCGAATCTTCGTCCTCAAACGGATCCTTACGCCGCATACGTGGTTCCTTTTGAAAATGATCGCGTCGCTGTAAAGTGGCGGACGTAGAGTGTTTATGCCGCAACTCATCCAAAGCTTGCTGGATTAAGCGGTGGTGGCCCTTCTTCGGTACTAGCGATGGCAGGTCGGATTTTTCAATTGTGCTGAGCAACTTTACCGAGTCAAAGCCATTCTCGAAAAAAGCTGGAGCATACTCGCTCATGTCGACGCTCAAGCCCTTGAGCCATGACAAGACTTCGCGTTGTCCCTCTGTATAGTTTATCTCCTTTCTTTTGGCTGCTGAGCTGGATCGACTCTTCTTCGCACCACCTGCAGAGGTGTTGCTACTCGAAGCGTTTCCTACCCCACATACACGCGGGTACATTTTATCCAACATTCTCTTGCGTGGATCCACCGTAGTTGAATAATTTGATGCCGAGCCGCCATTTAATGATGCAGCACTAGATGGTCGCGATACAGATCTCGGTCTTCCATCGACTTGTGGGCCATTGCAACTGCTCCGAACGTGCTCAGGTTCTCGACGATCGGATTCACGACCTCCCTGTCCAGACAGCGCTCTGTATTTAAGTTGGCGCTGCCGGTGTCTCTCTTCTGCTGATCTGTACCAGCATTATTTAATCCATTAGAACCACGTCTACCTAGTCCAAGCAAGCATCAGCATATACCGATATGATAACTTACATGTTGACAACAGAAGTAGCCGGACGTCTCGCTTGTACTTGAGTCCTCGATGTCGGTAGTACTCGACGGACAACTGGTGGTGCCGATGCTCCTCGATAGCTTGTACTCGATAGTCCACGTCGCTGTGCCAATTGCATTCTCCCAATAGTGCTTTTAGATGAAGCTGTTGACACTTTTGTACCTCGTCGTCCTTTTGAAATAGGTCCACTTAAAACCTGTACCGTCCTTGAATCTCTCTTGGCTTTTTCACTGGCGTAACCTTCCTGCAACTTTTTTCTTGCATTTTCAAATTTCTTTTGATTCCCAGCATCTATTGTAAAATTCATGAAAACAATCCATAAAACTCAGCTCATCACGTCAAAATTCACCTACTCGACCACCTACGTACCTCGTGTCAATGGTAACGTACTTGGTACTTTCTGTAGCTCCAATGGTCGACTAGTCGCTGGCAAACCAACCTCATTCTTCCATTTCTTCGTCAGACTCATGCTATACCCTCGTACAACCTCATCATCATGTTTCTTGAGTTTATTTACAGCTGCGCCAATTTTAGTCCGTTGAAGTAGCTCTTTATTTACTTTCAATGTCGTTAATTTCCCCAATACTTTCTGCATATCCGATGCAATGCGTTTATCGGTTTTCCACCCATCACGTGCTGTGATGTCGGTAATCTGTCGAGCCATTAGAGCAACATCCTTCTCCCCCGTGACCGTCATAGTGATTGTTCCTTACTACGTACGACCTCTTGAATAGGAATGTAACGGTCCAAATAGAGAATGAAAAACTAAAAAACCTCAGATTACACGACCCCCTAAAACCTCAATGTAGGTTGTCTGATTGTATACGGTCGTCGAATCGAGTGGGACACATCAAGTACATCATCAGACCAAATGTTAACGTTAACGTTAAGACGGACAAGTCGAGTGCGTCATCTTTCGTACTTCTTGGGCATTGAAACAAGGTATTTCGTCCATGGAATAGATTAAATCGTATGTTGAAATACAGTTCTAATTGATAGTGATGTTTCTCTTGCAGTTGTGATGATACAGCAGTAGCAATAGTGGATCAAAATGGTCGTATCTTAAGTCATGTTATTTCATCACAATGGGAACTTTATGCCAAATGGAAAGGTAGAAGGAGTTGTGTACTATACAATTTGCCATATACTTTTTCTTACACTTGTGTTGATGTACTTGTAGGGATTGTACCGGCATTGGCAGCTCGAGCACATGCTGAGAATCTGCCACATGTTATTCACGCTGCCATTGAGCAGAGGTGACAAAGGAGGTGATGAATGATGAAAGTTGTTGATGGACTGACAAGGACTTTGTTGTTGTTGCTATTGGTGGTGATGAATCTGGTTAGTAAGTTAGAAGGGGTCGAGCAATTGTCAGCTGTGGCAGTGACGTCTGGTCCTGGACTTGCTCCGTGTCTTGATGTGGGACTACAGACAGCGAGGCAAATTTGTTTGAATCATCGGGACATTGCGTTCTTGCAAATCAATCACCTCGAGGTTTGCTGTCGTGCTATGGATGCATTGATTGATAATGTCAAGTCTCATTGCTATTGTTGATGTTAATAGGCTCATGTTCTCGTGTCAAGATTACCTCAAGTACGTTGTTGTAAGCTCGTTGACATTCTCGCGTACTAATATGCATTCGTTGTGTGTGTATCTGTTGATTTTTTGTTAGCTCGAGACGCCTTCACCGGAGTTCCCTTTTGTCGTGCTACTTGTGTCTGGAGGCCACTGCTGCCTTGTCTTGGCAAAAGGTCTTGGTGACTACGAGCTGTTAGGCAACACAGTCGACGACTCTATTGGAGAAGCCTATGACAAAGTGGCCCGGATGCTGAACATTACTTCCTCAGGTGGTAAGGGTGTGCACGGTGGTAAGTTGATTGAGGATATGGCTGCACGCGGCAATGACCGTGCTTTTTCGTTTACTGAGCCAATGAAGCATCGGAAGGTGAGTTCATTATTGTGCATCAAGCTTTGGTCGAGTGCTGCACTAACTGTCGGGTCGCGCTCAGGATTGTGACTTCTCTTACTCTGGCATCAAGACTGCCATGCTACGAGAGGTTAAGAAGGTAGTGAGAGTTGCTGTAGTTGCCAAGACTTGCCGTGCCATCTACTGATCGTTCAATATGTAATGCAATAGCTTGGCAACATCGACGAAAAGACAAAGGAGGACCTGTGTGCTTCGTTCCAGGTAGGAATGGGGTTTGTTTTGGGCCAGACTTGTGCTAATTGATGTCGTCTGCGATGGACAACGCACTTGACAGCGAAAAGCAATCGACCAGTTGGTCACACGAACACGACGTGCCTGTCAGTGGAGCAAAGAACGCATGAGGGACAAGATCTCTACCCTTGTACGTCAACTTGTCGATAAAATCATACAGATTCTGTATCGATGATCAATGACTGTTGCTGTCCAGGTTGTATGCGGTGGCGTGGCATCGAATCAGTATCTTCGTGATCGACTGCAAGCAGCAGCAGATGAAGAAGATGTAATGGTCATTTTCCCTCCGGCCAAGTATTGTACTGATAATGGTGTCATGGTTGCATGGGCTGGAATCGAGCGATACGCCCAAGGAATGCGTAATGATCCAGAGTCTGCACGCTATCAGCCGCGTTGGCCACTCGAAACTCTGCAACCGCTCTAGGCTCACGTTAAAGAACCAATGGACACTAAGAGTACGTGAATCAAACATCATCTAGAAGCAGCGTTCGAGCATTTCTCTCCCATGTAGTAGTGCCTACTTGACAGTCTTTATTTTTGCCAGCTTTGTGGTCGAATGCTGCTGAACAGTAGCTCCTTGTCAGTCATGATCACTACAATATCAATACCACCCATTGAATCTGATGCTAAAGACTCGTGACTTGATGTTGTAGTCTGTCTAGTCAGTAAAAAGGCTGCAGGACGTACGTCATGCTTGACAATAGAGGGCAGTAGTATACCTACATACACCTGAGATTAACGACATCTCAATTGTTACGTAAAACAAGTACTACAAATTGCAAGATAAATGTCATTAAAACCCACAACTAGCTGATCAAATAATGCCTTAGTCTCCATTAAATCAAAAACCAGAAGCTCACCTTGGTTCTCATCTTCCTCCTACACGTGCATCAGCCACTTCTTCCAAGAAATTGAGAGTAAAAATGGTCTTACAGACATTGAAAATCTTGTGGTTTTTCTTGTTGACTGCTACTGGATCGTCCATACAAGAGGGAGTGATGCGGACACGACCGATTTTACTCGTCCCAGGTTTTGCATCGTCTCAACTCGAATCCTGGAGCTCTCATCGTTGCAAGACGAGCTTTCATAATAATCTGTATCGAGAGATTAAATTTGGGGATCGCATGTGGATCGATGTCGCACGAGTGCTGGCACAAACCGAGTGCTGGATCAATTGCATGAAGCTCGACCATATAACGCAGGACGAAGTTGAGTGTAAATTACGGTAAGGAATAGAGAGCAGAAGGAAGGAGTGGGTACTAATGAATGGCTATTGATACGTTTCTTGATGGGTGTTGTAGAGCTGCACAAGGCCTGGAAGCGATTTCGGAGCTAGACCCGGGAATTGTCACAGGACCTTTGTCTACAGTGTGGCGCAATATTATTCATGATTTGGTCGATCATTTTGAACTCGATCCGGAACAACTACTTGTTGCCACATATGACTGGAGACTGCCACCTAGCAAGTTACAACAACGTGACAAGTACTTTGGCTCGCTCAAGAAGAAGAGTACGTGATTGTGGAGATGAGTTTGGGTGATCAAGCCGACGTTGTTGATGGGTGTTGTGTGGCTTTTTGTTTTAGTTGAAACTACGGTCGAGCTTGATGGAGACAATGGTGGACTTGTTGTGATTGCTCACTCGATGGGTAATAGCGTTTTCCGCTACTTCCTCGAGTGGCTGAAAGATGAGGTGGGCCGCAATAACTGGCACAAGTGGATCGACCACCACATCTCTGCCTACTTTGCGGTTGGTTCGCCGTTACTAGGAAGTGCTGAATCACTCGAGTTGATATCTTCCGGTCTTACGGAAGGACTTCCGATGACACAGAGCGAGATGCGCAAGCTCGTGGTTTCATTTGGTAGGATGCCTTGGTATGTTCCTCGCCGGGTCATGAATCTCAGTCATCTAATCGCTTGTATGCGTTGTAGGCTCGATCTTAAGCTTTATGCCGATACCTTCTGGATTGAATTCGTCCAAGGACAATGAAGTACTCATTGCTGTGCGCTCGCAACAGGGACTGGGAGACTACCAGGTGCAGCTTCGAAACTACACCAGCGCCGACATTGCCACAGGTCGACTTTTTCGCGACATGGCCGCGCACGATCCGATCTTCGGCAAGTTGGAGGCAATGCGCCAAAAGTTTTATGCGCAAGACTCCATCCTTGATTTCTATAAACCCTGGGAGCGTCCTCCCATTGCTTCAGTCTACAGTGTTTACGGCGTTAATGTTCCGGTACGTGTATCACTGGGATACCTGCGTCAATGCTCCTGTTGTTGCTAACTGGTTTGTGTTCATGTTGCAGACGAAGAACTTTTACGAGTACGAAAACGCAAACACGCCAGGCCATTGGTACCAGGTGCAGTACATGAATGAAGAAGGCCAGGATCCAACTTGTACCAAAATAGGTGATGGCACCGTGAGTTATCATTCGCTCTCCTGGGCACACACGTGGCTGGGCTCAAAAGGTTCATCCGTGCGAGTCACTCAGACTCCACAGTCTGTTTATTTTTCAGCTGAAAACATCACGCGGGTGCGAGCTGTACGACATGCAAGCACTCACCACGCGGAGTATTCGCTGCTGAACGGCGATTCATCAATTTGTGAGGCTGACACGGATTCGTCTTCATCAAATCGTGGCGCTACGACGAGCTTCTTCGCAGGGCTCTTTGGACCGCTCAATCGCGACAGGATCACTTTTTTCGACAGCTCCAAAGAAGTGAATGAAGCAACTTTCTCGGTGAGTGGGCCTTTTCATGACTGTCGCAATCTCTAGAAACTTGCTAAATGTGCTGCAATTACAGACTGGTGTGTGGGAAATCGATGGTGTTAGCCATCGCGACATTCTATCCAATCCGGCATTTCTTCGCGAGTTACGCGCCGAGTTGCGTCACATCTTCAATGGCAAAACTAACTCGGACAAGGTAGGTCAATCCCTGATGATCCAAGTGACGTTCTGTCCAAACAAACTAACAAACATGCTAAAATGATGTTGTAGTCGTCTCGTCCGCCGATCATTGACGGTGATTGCTACTGGAACTACCGTCGTGCTCACTGTGAATTCCAGGAATTCTGTGAATACCGATATGTCTTTGGTGATATGACCTTTGACCAATCTTGCCGTATTCGCTTGAAAGAAGGTCTTCCTGCACCATTACACTCAACCACTTTCTTGGGGGGTGTCTCGGCATTATCTTTGAGTCAGATGCCAGTCGAGTTTTCGATTGCTGGACCGTACTGTTCTGCGCCGTGCCTACCCATCTCGTTTTCATCATCCGACATGACAACGACTTGTCAACAAGAGCCGTTGCAGACATGAAGGGCTAATGAAGTCTTCCATCTGATACAAACCTAAACTGCATTTGTAAATAGTATGAAAAGCCGTCATCGTTTATTCTTTTCAAAGCCCTTGTCGACATTTTGCTTGCCATATTCCAACCGAGTCTTCATTCGACCTGGTTGTTGCTTACTGAAGTAGAGCATCAGCGTGGTAGTTGACGTGGTCCTCGATAAACGAAGCGATGAAGTAATAGCTGTGGTCGTACCCGTCCTGTAAGAAATCATTGTTAATCGAGAAAACGTGTCGTAACAACCAAATAAGTATTTCTCCGCGAAAGTGTGCTTACCTGCATGCGGAGTGTCACTTCCTGGCCCACCAAATTGCACGCTGCCTCAAAAGCCTCAGGCAGTAGCTGTTTGTCATGCAAAAAATTGTCTTCACGTCCTTGATCGATCAGAATAGGTTGAATAATAGGTCCTTGTTTCAGAATGAGCTGCGTGGCATCGTATTCCTACAAGACACAAACACAATAAAATCAGTTTAATTAAACACACCACATCCACGACATCATAGACAAATAGAATCACCTTCCACGTTTCCTGTTCAACACCTAAATAGCCCGTAAAAGCCTTAATTCCCCACGGACATTGACTTGGGTGTGCAATAGGTGCAAATGCCGAAATCGACTTGTACTGCGTCTACATCATCTCATCACAACTTGGTCAAAAACCTACTTTAACCCCATGAACAGCAAATAATCTTGTAAAAAAGGTCGTACCGAATTCCGAATTCCAAGTACCAACGCTCCATGTCCACCCATTGAATGTCCCATAATCGATTGTTTGTCTTTCATGACAGGAAAATTGGCAAGCACAAGTGCCGGTAGCTCCTTATTTACGTACGAATACATCCGATAATGATTTTCCCATTTCGGCTCGGTAGCATCAACATAAAAGCCTGCACCAGTGCCAAAATCCCAAGTGTCGTCGTCCCCCGCAATAGTGACATCCCGTGGACTTGTGTCCATCGTGACAATCGCAATCCCACGATGGGCGGCTACTTTTTGTGCCTCGGGTGCTTTTACAAACAATAGCTCGTCATTACACGTGAGTCCTGGGAGATAAAAAAGTACTGGAACTTTGTGACTGTCACTAGCAGTGGGTGGAAGAAAGATACTGAACTTCATACTGCATTTAGTACTGGTACTTTCATGTACGTATTGCTTGATAACGCCTCCAAAAGACTTGACCTGCTTAATGAGCTGCATGGGTTATTATTATAAAGAGCTCCTAATTGAAAAATAAAACATGGGTACAGACGTAGAATCGGTATGGTACCGGTACAACCTACGGTATCGACTGACGGGTAAATCGAGTGAATTATCCTAAAATAGTTGTGCTTAAATCAGTGCTACGACTTCCGTCACGAGTGCTTGGATAGCATCAAGTCCTGGTGCCACATTTAAACGACGTAGGACCTCTGCTAGACCCAAATCAATCGAAAGACTGCGTGCAACTTTAAAGCTGTGCAGTAAACGACCAAGACCGACGATTATGCCTTCAATCGTTTGTTGCTGGATGGAACAGGAATGGTGTCTGGAAATCCGATCGAGCGTTTCAACAGCGCCACAGACGAGTGCAGTGACCACAACCTCTTCACCGACTTTCATCGCCAAGCAGCAATTGCTTATGACATTTGAGCTTAGCACACGCACATCGGGACTAGTCGACACGTCGGCAATTGTGGCAAACACAAAAGGCAGAAATCGTGTCGAACTAGAGAGTGCCAGGTCGCTGAATTCCAAATTGGCGAACGCGTTGAGCAGTACTGCTAAGAGTAGAATCTTCTGAGCACATGTCAGTGGTAAAGGCTCAATTTCTGCGACGCAGACAACAGCCTCAAAACATGCTTTCTTTTCTGCTACTGCTTCGGACACTGTCGTCGGCTGTAGAAGCAGTACACGAAATAAACCCAATGCTGGGAAGAAGAATGTCGACTCGTGTCCTAGACCCACCAATTTGTTGACAATAGTCCACCATTCTTTGCTCTTGGTCGAGTCAAATTCTTTCCTGTCTGCTGTCACATCTAGCGACAATGCATCAAGTGCCGAGATCTCGTCTCGTGACAACAGTTGCTCCGTGTTGAGCGTCTTGATGCGTTGCACCATCTTGTTCAAGTAAAGACTTGGTGTTCCCGAGATTTTAAAGCGACGTGACGCCAAAGCCATTGACGACGTGTTACTTGATACTGAAGCAGGTGTCGTTGCTGCTACTGGTGCAGCAAGAGTAGCACGTGATGGATCATTGAACGGAATGGAAAAGAGCTGATCACCTGGTGCTGCGTGCATCTGGTTGTTCATATTCTCCAGCATAGGTCTCAACATTGCACCAAATGGCGAGTTAAGCACCTCGTTTGGTAGGTCGATAATATACTGGGGAATGCCTGATCCGACGAGGAATTTGGCCACTTCGTTTGTGAAATTGTTGCAATTATGACGCAATAGGTCGTACGTGGCGTCCGTGAAGCGCGAGCTGTTCTCCCTCAAGAACTGCTCGAGCTGCTGCTGCGATAGATTCGTCTCGCCCAGAGGAATCGTGCGTACAGGCTGCATGCCGTAACGTTGTACGACCAGCTCTGGCGCCATGGCCTGGATCCCGCCACCGCCAAAGAAATATTCCTGACCAAACACGAGCACACCCGTGTGCCAGACACCGTCAATGGTCTTGCCCAATAGAGCAGGTGAGAGTTGCTGGGCCATGCCCCGACTTAGATCATACATGTTAAGCGTCACTGTTGTCATCTTTTGTACGACGAAGTAAATTTGATTGTGATGAATAAGTCAGTCTGTACCGTGGTCGTGGAAAAAAATGTTCGAGAATGTACGGTAGTGTGATTACAATCATTCCGTTCGTACAAATTTTACCTTCATTATCATGAAATGTGTACGATAAAAAGTTCGGTGATCGACACATGGCTTAGGCTTGGTAGGACCCTACTGCAGTGGCCGATATCCCTGTTGCTTGGTGGTGAGCGGACCATGAAACTTGCGACCGAGAAAAAGACCAGCGAGACTCGAAAGGATCACCAAAATCATAGTGGTGAAGTACGACACTGACCCCTTGTTCACGGCTTTGACAATCTTCGCTTTAGCTCCACTATTCGATGATGCCGGCGCAGTGGTTGCGGCCACAGCCGAATCTTTGCTGCTTTCTTCAGTTCCATCGAAGAATCCCACACTTTGCAGCCACCACTTTGGGTAAAAGATGGAGTGGACTGTGAGCATCTTTGCGTAAAAGTTGGAAACCTGGTAGCCATCGTGGAAGGCGGTGACGAGGTAGTCAAACAGGTCCGCAGAAGCACTATGCGCTCGCTGAGCAAACTCCTCACTCTTTGTCGTAAGAAACTCTACCATGGCTGGTACTCCACTGTCCCGTTTGTGCTGTGCAGCTTCCATCAGCACACTTTCAAGCCTGCCATCAGCATAGCTCTCCAACTCGTCTTGAACTCTTGCGACAAAAGGACTCGTGTGAGAGTAGAAGCGTGCCGCCCAGTTTCCAACCAGAGCATGGATCCAGAAAGATGATTCACGGTCAAATGCGTGCAGCGAACCACGTGACAGTTGCTTGGGCACGTCAGTCACCTGCACAAACACGGGCGTGTAAGTGGTTGCGTGTGGGGCGTACTGGCCAAACCAAAGGTATGCGTTGTCCGGGTTTTGCGGGTCCAGGATTGATACGAATGAGTAGCTTGCACGGAAGATGGAGATCGCGCGCTCAAAGTGGCCACGAGATATGTCGTCGCGGGTAAGATCATCATTCGGGGATGGATCGTATCGGTCAGGGTCACCATATGGGCCGCTCTTCGGGCCCTTTGTCATGTCGAATGGTGTGCCTTCGTAGTGATCCCGCTGAAAGCGCATGATGTCGCGAGGGGATAGAGGCGACGCCGGCTTGACACCAAATGGATAATCGCTGGCAAGCACGTCGGTTTCCGGAGACAAGGCTAACGCCGGGTTGGCAAGCGTGAACAAGCGCCAGATGCGACGAGTTGAGTAGTACTGGTGCGCTGGCTTGCGAGGTTGAGCATACGCACGAGTAAAATCGAATGGCGTGCCATTGTTCGGCTTCCAAATGTTGTTGCGGATAGCCACGTCGTGCACATTAGGGGATGCCAAGAAATCTGCCGGGCGGTTCAAGTCCAACTCGCGGATCACAAACTGGTTAGCCACGCCACTAATCTGGTCGTCAGGAACACGCTGGGCCGCCCAGACAGCCGATTTTCCAGTGTCATCGGGCAGAATGTGGAAAATCCACGCCTCTTTCGTGTCCGTCACCGTCAGAGCTTCGCCTGCTTCGTCGTACACACCACCTCCTTCCCACTCAGCCCCATAGTATCCATACTGCACAGCAAGGTCACCCATGAGCTGAATAGCCTCACGAGCGGTTTGAGTACGCTGTAGTGCAATCCGAGAGAGTTCTCCCACGTCAAAGAGGGCTTCGCCTCCTTGTGTCACTGGTTTGGTCCAGAAGCGTGCAGGGCAAGTGCTCTCACCAATAGCAACTTGGTGTTCATTGATGATTCCGTAAGCACCTTCAATGTAAGCAAAGGTTTGTGACACTTCTGGGATGCTGCCAATTGCAGGCGACGCCGTCCAATTATAAAAACGCGTATCCAGATTCTCCAAAAGATATTCCTTACCACGAGCCTCACCGACTACAAAGATACATAATAACTCTTTCAATATAAAGCCGATCCAATGTAACATCGACTACTATGTGTGATACCCCTTACCGTATCGTGGATAGTCAAAAGCTGCAAGTACGACGTCGTGTTGGGCGTCATCTTTGTACGTCTTTGCCGGTACTTTAACAATTCGAAAATCACAGGACGAACAATCGTTTGTATGGGTGGTCATGGGGGCTCCAGTAGTCGATGCCTACATTGACAAGATGTAATTGTCTATTAACAGACAACGTGGTTTGTATTATATATTTCTAATGGGATATGTCATACTTTGGCTCCAACAATGATGGCGGTACAACGATCCTTTGCATCCGTGAGTGGCATTAGCGTGGCAAATACCAAAAAAGATGCGACTTTCATCATGATTCCGGTAGTGCGTCTGCGTTGTAGCTCTTTGATAAATGACAGACTGCGTAATAAATAAACCAGCGATCTTGGGAAATAAAAAAATATATATGAGGTTATACACCCCCCCCCCCTTCCTCCCTGTGGCCAGTTTTAAAGACTTGCAAGTCACTACTTGATCTTTTCTCTCTTTATTGAGCTATTTGCAGTACTCGTTGGTTACTGATCAGCCAGCACCTTGCTCAGTCCCGCATGTTGACATCGGCAAACAGAATCCAGTCTGTATCGATTGTCTATGCGTCTAAACTATCTGATCCTATGCAATCGATGCTGCAACACTTTCTTTTGCGATGAAAAGTCCAACGCTCGTTTATTATCTTGATGCTGCACCAACACTGAGGCTTGCGGTGGTAGTGCCTAGAGTTTTCTAGTTATTTTTTGCACTTGGTTGTGTCTCTTGCTACTATTTTTTTTACGATCGATTGTATTAGCGTCGGTGGTTGCTTCGTGATGCGACAAAGAGAGTTGGCAATGGACGGAAGATGTCGCATGAACCGTTTCGTAATGTATCATTCCTTTGGCGTTCTCGTACGCCCTACAAGTCGAAAAAAAGAGGGGGAATCGACTCTCTCTTTGACCTTTGCTTTACGAATCGCAGACTTTTTTTCCTACAAAGTGTTGTTTTGCTCACAGCCGATCAGAACTGTCAAGCGCCTGGCGTCAACATAGGGAAGGCTTACTCGCACTCTGGCAAAACACGGTGGTTACAATCGTAACGTTCCATTCGACGGCAAAGCGTTGGACGCCTCCTACGTAGGGAAGTGAGCTTTTGCACCTCGGAATCAGATCAAAAGGTAGATAAATAATTACAATAGTACTCGTACGAGAAGAATGCAGTCCGTGTTCTGCACACCATGCGGTAAAAAACTGCAGACAGTGGGCTCCTTGATTGCCCCGTCTGCCTTTTTCCCTTTTTTTTTCTCAGGCGGTCCCTCTCAGCTAAGTTTCTGTATACATAATTAGTATTCCCGCATTAGCCCAATTGAGCGGAGACCGTAAATTGAAAAGAAAAATATTTAGTAACTATTATATATCTATATATGGCAGACCTTTGTGATTGTAAAAATGAACCATCGGTCTCATTAGCATCTAAAGCTTCCAAGTCTCCAGAGGGTACAACTACTAGCTCAATGGATGAAGAAGAGAGCAATAACCATAGCCAAGGGAGTAGCAGTACAGGTCTTCCTCTGGCTACGCCATTGCGCAACAAATTGAACGCGGATGAAGTTTTTCTTCGAAACATGGTGGGGCTACTCAATAAACGTGGCTATAACGTACGAGACTCTGCCCCTGAGACGTCCATTGCATCATCATGTGCAAGCTTTTCTTGTTCCAGTAGCTTCACAAGTCAATGCTCCATCTCGTCTGCACTATTGGCTCTGCGTGAGCCAAATCATGGCCAGACACCATTCCATATCGCTGTCCGTAGAGGCGACTTGCAAATTCTAGATGCGCTTCTAGAGCACGAAAGCATTCATGAGCTGCTGGATGCCCCTGACTTTAACGGAAACACGGCGCTGCACTTTGCCACAGGCAACTGGAAACAACTTATGTGCCTGAACATTGCCGAGAGATTGTTGGACGCTGGAGCTAATGTTAACACCGAGAACAAACGCGGCCTCACACCGCTTGCTGTTCATATGCTTACGCTGAATATTGACGACCCAACGCTGATTGTGAAACTCCTAGAGGCCGGAGCGGACCCGAACACAGAAGCCGAGGGGGTCGCTGTATTGCATCTCGCGACACAGCGCGACTTGCCAGCGATTGCAGCGGTACTGATAGGTTCTGGAGCTTCTATGCTGGCGTTGAACACGGATGGTCTTATGTGTTACGAAGTGGCATCGTCCCGTGTAAAGCAATTTATGGTACGCAACATCAGCAAAACGCCGGCTTATCTGCCGATGACGCAGCGAAGTACTTGCATGCGATGCAAGTCGTCGACGCTCACTAGTCGGAAGAAGGCGTTTGGTAACATGATGAAGAGGGTACTTGGCATGCAGATGCGCATTCATCAATCGAACTGCTATCACTGCGGCATGCTCTTTTGCTCGCAGTGTCTTAAGCCATCGAGCGCTGTCAGTGCAATTCCATTCGTGCGTACCGATGACGATCCGAATAACAAGATTAAAACTTGCCGTTTGTGCGAGGCCATTCTTCTGGAACGCAAAGAGGAAGCAGGCGTTACAACATACATTTGATATGCATCTCTTGGGTATCCAGACGTCCATCTAGACAACCACAGGACGACCAAACGAATGGACTGTGTTCAAGCGCAGACAATAACACCGCCGCAGAGGCGACAAAAACCCGAACAAGAGCGCAATTGTACGACGGAGAAGAGTGTGCACCACAGGGAGTGACGACAAACTCAACTACGTTGATGCGTGTTGTCTTCGCCCTCTTCTCCATCTGCTGCCGGGATTTGCTTACCCGGCCCGATAACTTAATATAAGCATTGTGTATGTTTCTTCGCGACTCGATCTTTGCAATAACGATATTGTTAGGTGATACTTCGTACCTTCACTCAAACATGCTACCAAGTCCGTCGTCCTCAGAGAGACCGTCATCAAGCATAAGCTCTTTTAGCTTCCCGCATCGCTGCCTTTTCCTCGCCGCGCTTATTGTGCGTCGGATCATATGTCGGGTACGCATCCAGCATGAACTTGCCCTGCGAGCTCGTGGCCTCAATAGCACGAACGGGAAACTGTGCGAACGCAGTAAAGTGATGAAGCGTAATAGCTGTAACCACGGTGGTGTCCAATACAAGCTTGCTGGAGACTTCGGTCTGCTCGCCGTGGAAAGGTACGTGGACAAAGTTGTCGCAGATAGCACGCTGTTCCTCCGATAGCCCAGGGAACTACATAGCATCAATAAACAGGAAAATGTTAGCTATGCCTGTAACCCTGCAGCCTCGTGTTCGGGTCCAACATGATTGTCGCCTCTCGACGCACCTCGTTGTCGATGACGAATGCACTTGTTCCTTCATATGGCGTGGCGTGCGCTACTAATACATCCAAAATAATCATGTCAATTCAGGAAGACTAACTACACATAAACTGCAAAAGGGTCCAGTCCATACAAGAAGAAGCACTTCCACGCAAGAACGTACCAAAGGATCCGACCGGCTGCTGGCTCAGGCCAAAGATAGTGCAGCCTTTAGACTTCAGGTAGGCACGAGCTTCAGCAAACTCATAAAAGTGCACAACGTCTACATACTTTTGTGCTCGATGCGCTCCATGTGTGCCAAAACGTTCGGAGCCAACTGCAATGTCCAACCAGGCGTTAACCTCACTCTCTACACTTGTAACGCAGTCCACGTGAAAAGATGTTGCACTCACCCACCAAAACTTGGGTCGTTCCAAATGCAGAAGCCGTGCGTAGATACGTGCCCAGATTCTGTCGTCCGCTCTTGTTCGACAGCACCATGTACAGCTCAATGGAGTTCTTGACAGCAGAGCTCGTCATTATTGGTCTTGCTTCCTTCACAAACGCCAATTGCTCCCCTCAATAAAGTGACTCTGCGACGTGTGAGAATTCAAGGGACTGCGTTGATGCACTGCACCTTGGCGTAAAAGTTGCAAAAGCTGCGATGAATGGACTTGCCTTTGCTGGCTTGCAACACTTTGGAATACTTAGCAAGTTTGCTATGACGAGCACGTCGTTGCTATACGTCTTCGTCTTGCAAGTCCACCAACGAGTGCAAAACTGACTCGTCAGCGACGAATTCTAGCTCGAGACGTTGAAGTTTTGTGTTTGCCGAGTCGTCCTGCAAAGTGCTAAAGAGTGGAAGCACACCATCGTTCGTAAAGCGCAATATCGTGCGTAGCATTCCAAAACAGTTTCGGAATTTAGCTGCAGGGTGCCCGCTTGAGTCGAGACATGAACTGTCGCCAAAGACTGCAATGCGACCGCCATTGTGCGAAGGCACCTCATAAAGACCTAGCACCGGAACATCCGTCAATGTTTCTTGGACCCATTCAATGTTCTTGCACTCTGATCGATAGCTTCGATGTAGCCCAGGTATCCGCCCACCGGGAAGTTCGTGAGATACGAGCCTGACCAGTACGGGAACGACGAGTCGTTGCCTGAATTCAGTAGCGATAAGCTTGAGCTGTAGACAACTCCAGCTTCAAACGCGATAGGAAAGTTTTGTAACAGCTCATGAATTGCCGGAATGTTGGTCCCACCGGTGATGGCGTGCCACTTACTTAGCGTGGTCATATCGAAGAGCTCTAAGGAGTCCAACAAACGGTTGTCGTACCAATCGGCAAAAACGATTAGCGACACGTTCAAGAACTTGACTGCAGCTTGCAGAGCTACGGATTCGTCTCGACAAAAATCTTCCTCGGGATCGACAACCAGCATAACACCGGATTCCCTAGATCCAAACACGAGCACTCAAATGGCATGATCTCAGTGAAGAAAACTTCGCTAGCCAGGAAGCTCCACATCTGGTGGAAGTTTGTGTGTGGGTGGTCACCCGATACATCCATGAGATCGCGCTGGTTTTCAAGGTTGTCTCTCGGCACAAAAGCTGATGGGTAAGGGATATTATGGAACTGGTCCCACAGAATTCGCTTCGACGCTGGCGGAGTAGGGATAATCTTGACGGTTATTGGGATTAGGACATCATTAACGTGATTGGCGTTGTCCAATTCGAGCCGCAGTGTTCCCTGGGCAATACCCTCAAAAGCAGCAGCTTGCTCTTTTACCTCAACGAAAACGCCAATCGAGCCAAAGTACGGCCAAACAACAGAAGGTAATGATGTCGAGACCAGTAGGTGCTCGCCATTGGTGCCGGCTAACCATTGCGGAAGACTTTTAATCGTACCCACAACAGAAGTGGGATTTAGAATAGTCAAATTTACCATAAGCGGCAATGCGCTATGGTACAGCGGCTGTAAGCAATACGGCCACATACGTGGGCAGTCTGTCATGTCCAGTTTGTCTGGGAAAGAGCTGGGCTTGAAGACACTCAGGACTACATCTTGGCCCTTCGTGTAGCATTTTTTGCGGTTTGATATCGAGCCCATAAATTCTTTACAATCTCGCTTGCCCTAGAGATGTTACGCGCTCCGCTTCCTTGCTCAAAAATGTGGCTCCGAACTACATTGTCAGAGCCATAGCGTTCTTTCAGCTTATCTGAGCTTTCGAGCAAAATTTGCTTCATCGATGCTGGGTTCAACAAGTTCCATCTTTCCTCTGCAGGGATCATGGACGCGAGAACTGCTATTGATGCCGATATGATTGGAGCCGATGCACTGATTCCAGAAAGTACCTTGCATCTACCCGAGGCATCCGCCCCTGGGACGTCTTCAGCAAGAGTGACAATATCTGGTTTGACACGGCCAGATCCAAACGGAAGCTCCCATGTAGTCATACCACGCGACGAAAATTCAGCAATCTCGTTGCTTTTAGTGATGCCTCCCACACCTATGGCCTTCACTTGATCAGCAGGATTGGAAAGTAAGCCATGATGAGGCCCATCATTGCCGACTGCAGATACCTAGTAGTGAAAGTAACGTTGGTCAGTCGGTTTCCAACCAAATTGCAAAACAGAACAAAGTAGATGCCGTACCATAATGATACCATTTGCAATCTGTTCTTGTACTTTGTCGATAAAGGGTAAGTCTTGGAAACCTGGTCCTCCTGTACTCAAATTGATTACATGGATTTCTTGAATAATGCATAGTTAAACGCATCCAAATACCAAGACGTAAACGAAAGATACTCATCTGTAAACATACGGAACACGAACAGCTTCGCTTCAGGTGCAAGACCCGGACACTTTGCATGTCGTCCCACTAATCACACCTGCTACAAACGTGCCGTGACCATCAGAGTCTGTACTTTTCGGTTCGTGTGTCCAATTGATCCTCTCCTTATCATTTGTAAGCTGGGACGACGACAGTCCGGTATCAAAGATCCCAATTTTCACTCCTTTTCCTTTATAACCACGTTCCTAGAGTTCGCGAACTCCTAACTCGTCCACTAGCAACGTCGTCTCCTTTGTCAAGCCAAACAACTTTCTCGCCGATTTATTCACTGTTCGTTTGCTTGCAACTGTCTGAAGCTTATGACTTCGATGTTGTTGCTTCTCCAGTCCCAACAACTGCAGCTTTTTGTACTCTTTGTTCACTCAGACAGCTTTTATCTGCCCTATAGCATTGCTCTCCACGTACTTTTGCACGACTCTTTGCGAACCATGACACATCTTTTCTTCTAATGGTATTGCATTGCTGGAACCAGCTACAAACGTCTCTATGCCACAGTAAAACACGCGCAACATTACAAAGTCTGTTGGTGCGTGACGAGCGAATGGAGTCCATTTCACAATCTCGAGACTATAATCGAGTGCTACAGAGCGGATGGAGCTACTGGCAAGTTGTTCCTGAGTTTCAAAAGCACTGTAAGTACGTCATTGCACGATATATTCGAGTATGAATGACTTTTCGTAGAATTGACAGCGTTTTGACTGCCCCTTTGCAGCGTGAGCGAGTGGTTGAGCAGATAATAAGGATACCAATATGAGAACAAAGAGCATAGCTACCATTTGATGTATCGCACGTATCGATGTGACGTCTGTGGACGCCGCTCGGATCCCAAACCTCACCGTCTTGAAGCCCATATACAGCAGGAGTATTGGTCAAATGATTGAATCTGATCTGATTCCACGTCATGGGTACCCATAGTGGGCTCGCTCTTGTCCGGTAAGAAGTAGCACAAAATAAATTTCAATATTGATTCATAGTTGCGTAAAAGTTGAAGTTACTCGGTTGCCCAAAGGCAACATAACGACTTCAATTTCTTCAAACTTAAATAATAGCCGGTAGAGCTGTTCACTTGATAGTTGTAAGGTAAGAACAATCAGATATAGACTCTCAACTAATGGACAACTAGACGGCATCATACAGCAAAGAACTGCCAAGGCATTTATAAACGATTTCTCGGTGCTATTGCTTTTCAGATGCGTGAGCCACACGCGGACGATGGCGTAAGCCACAAATACCGATGATACGACTCATGGGCACAATGACTGTTATGTCGAAGCAGTAGTGAGAGACAAAAAAGAGGCCAAATGTCATGATTATATTCAAACAAGTAGATGCGTAGGAGTATGCGGAATGGAGAGGAGGAGACCTAATTGCGATAAATGTACAAGCTTTCTCGTGACACAATGTGTTAGACAAGGTCAATAACACAAATTCGTGGCAGCTGCAGTGATGACATTATGGCTGACAATAAAAGAGTAAAGAGGTGTCCAAATCTCTAGTAATACTTAAGACGATAAATTGCATATACCAAAACAGAAGAATAAAATCAACGTCTGCAGCAACAACTACTCAGATATCACGGTCATTTCTTGTCTTTTACACAAATGCCAACCTAAAATTCTTGGATTTTATCCGACTAATTGTAGGATTAGGCTAAAAATAAAATCCGGATTGTTCGTTTAAACGTAACATCCGTGTCATGTCCGACATGGCGCGATATAATCGTCTCCAGACCTTACACTTGCGTCCATTGCTGCTCCTCTTCCTGAGCACGCTTGTACTTGCAACTTATGTGACAAGCTACACTGACATCTCATATAGCTCTCTCTCAGTTTCCAGCTCCAACGACGCTGTAGAAGCTCCACAATCAATTATCAACGACCCTGTCTGCTTATCAGACAATGTCAATCTTTTACCCTCTACGTCGGACTCAGCGACTCCTCCAGCGCGTCCATTAGATCCTCGTAAACAACACATTGTCTTTGTGTCGATTGCCATCAAAAGCCATGCGCAACCACTGCTTCGAGTGGCCAGTGAGATGAAAGAACGAGGATATCGTGTCTCCTTCGCTACTCACGACTCTGGAAGAGAGTGGGTGCACGCTTATGGATTGAACTTCCTGTCAGCAGGAGACTTTCCAATCTCAGCTGAAGATCTTCGTGTCAAATTTCGTGCCATGACGCGGGATGTCTCGAATTTTCGAGGAATTTTGACAATGTTTACCGACATATACGTACGTGCAGCACGACTCATGTTTAATGCTCTGCTGCCTCAACTGGAGACCAATGGAAGCAATCCTAATGCACCGAACATGCTGGTTGTGGATATTGCAACGATCGGGGCTCAAGATCTCGCTCTGAAGCTAAAAGTCCCGTACGTTTTAAACTCTCCGTCGCTCCTGTTTGATCTAGAAGGAGCTCCAAGTTATGTGCCAGCATGGGGCACGGGATTCCGAGACAATATGTCGCTGTGGAATCGATGTATGAACATTTTGTTCCCACGATTATTATCTGTCGCACTGACACCGCCATTCATGGAATGGAACAGAATGCGCTACGAGCTTAATTTGCCGCCATTCAGATCCCAACACGATTTATTCAAGGGAGCGCGCGTGATCCTTAATACGGCATTCGGACTTGAATACCCGCAGCCTTTTTCGCCACTAGTGGATGCTGTGGGACCCATTATGCCGATACCGGGTGGAAATGCTAGCAAGTTGGAGCGCCAATCGCTTCCTGCTGCTATGCTGAGCTGGCTTGACGCGTCTATTGAAACTAGTCCGTCGCTGCGATTGCGCCAACGATCTGCATCTCATCATCGACCTAAGGCTCCAGGCGACCACGAGTTTGAAGCTAGCTCCGGTGGTGTGGTGTATTTAAACCTAGGCACCATGGCTTATATGGATGCGTGGCAAGCTCAAGCACTAGTAGAAGGACTACTAATGGGGTCTAATGACCCGCCTATGAAAGTGCTCTGGATCCTCCCAACAGACCAGCGCGATATTTTACCACCTGCATTACCGACTCAGTTGGTCGTAAAAGCACCTAGTTCTTCGCTGTCAAACCTGGAAATCTTGAACCATCCGTCTGTCCGGTTAGTAATTTCGCACTGCGGCATGGCGTCAACACAAGAAACACTAGTGATGGGAAAGCCGTTATTGTGCATCCCTTTTCTTGTGGATCAACCAGATGTAGCAGCACGCGTTGTTGATGCTGGAGCAGGTTTGTCGCTGGACAAGAATTTACTTTCGGGTCCCTACGTGCATGCTGCAGTCACGGAACTCCTAACAAATACCTCCTACACGCGTGCCGCAAGGCGAGTTGGCTCGTTGTTGGAGCGAGCTGGTGGTACTTCTCGTGCGATTGACGTGATCGACGCTGCATTGCGATTGGGATTTGATCATCTGGCCACATTGAACCTGACAGCTCCTTGGCACAAAACTACTTTACTGGACGTCTGGGCGGTTTACGCTGCGCTTATCTGCTTGCTGGCTGTGTCTTTGCGCATTCAGTGGCTACTGCTTTATTTCCTAGTGTCGAAGAGTCTTGGGCTTTTGTACAGCCTTATACTTGGACCGCCACTACCTCCATCCTCCTGTGATGAGGATATGACGTACGAAGATGATGACAAAGCAGAAAAGATTGACACATTGCAGCCTGGAAGTTGATACAGTGCTGGGTCCAGGATGATAAATACATGGACAAAATCACGCTTGTCCTGTGAGCGATAGAAGGTCTTTCGCGCTGGCGGTCCTTTCATGCTGCAGGTCGTCGCTGAAAAAGAAAGCGTCTCAAGCAACTCCGGCAAACCAGCAGACAGCGGATTACGCTTTGCGTGAGGACCAAGTAGGCGATACAGCTGATTCTGTGTCCAAAGGATGAGTCAACCTGCTGATGTGTCTCACTTTCGGGGTATCGTTGGCAAGACAAATGATGTTGGAAAACGGACTAATGCACGTCACTCGTCAGAAAGGCTAGTGGTCAAGGAACTGATGCGTAAACTTACGCACTAGACGCTCTTTACCACCGTTACTCCAGTACCGTGACTATGTGTACTATCATGTAGCCATTTGTGACTTGTTAGTATTTTTAAAGGTAGCCCACCAACATGGCTACATAATTGATAGCTTAACATGATTATTTGACAACTGTCGTAAGACAATGGCACGGAATAGGAACTCTGTGAATCCTGTACGGGCCGCTACGATGCGTAAATGGTATGCCCGGGTCTGGTGGATTGGTGTCCATGCATATGGCTACGTTGTGCTGGGTGTTAAGGGTGCATTGAGTCCAAAGGCGTTGCCTATCACTCAATTTGTGCTGTACTTGGTCATAGCAGTAGCGACAATCGGGTGCTACATCGTATTACAATGTCTATCACCTGGACAACTGGAAAAGCGGCCACTACTTGCACCTGTGGAAGCTACAACGCCGACTAGTCTTGGTATTCCGTGTCAAGCGTCAGTGGAAGATGCTGACGACACGGAATTGCTAGCCGATGGAACGGAAAATGAACATTTGAGGAACAGTGCTGACTTACATTTCTGCAATGAATGTCACATCTTTCAGCCACTTAGGACAAAGCACTGGTGTGACGATGGACTCTGCCTTATGAAGCAATGGGTAATGGTTTTACTAAAACATGATTGTGTTTGTGATGGGTAGCAAGGATTGTGCTCGATGCACACGGCAGTATGATCACCAGTGCGTGTTATTTGATCCGGAGTATTCGAAGCCACTGTATTGAAACTCGTGACAGCTAACATCTGCGTGATGTTGCATGTAGTTGTGATTGCGTGGGAACGTGTGTAGGCGAGAACAATCGTCGGTTGTTTGTCTTGTATTTGTTTTTGCAAATTCTGGAGGGTGCAGTGATGATTCAAGTTACGTCGTCAGCTTTTGCAGAAGGAGATGATATTAACGACTGGTTCAAGATCAATGCGCTGTATATTGTGCTATGGTTCATGCTCATGTGCATGCTGCTCATCGTCTTCCCGCTGTTTTGCTACCAAGCGTATCTCGTGTCAACAAACCAAGTACGTATCTCGAGTCTTACGTATCTTCCATTGCAAACAAGGACGATGACAACTAACCATCATGTCAATGTGTAGACCTCCTGGGAACATGCTCGACGTTCCTCCATCACCTATTTACAGAATCTACCAGACAAACACTCTCCATTTGACCGAGGCATTCTTCAAAACTGGTGGGTTTTTATTTCCAATGGTGATGGCAATAAATGGGTTCATCAAAGTGTAGCCAAACCAATGACGTCGCACCGTGACGAAGACGCGTCTACACTTGTATAGACCCAAAATCCCAATTTTGTTTTCAATCTGGACTATATTACATAATATGCATACATAAACCTATATAATTTTATACCCACACGCGACGGAGCCTTCGAGCCATGGTCCTGACCGTAGCGTTTAACGCTGCTGTCTTCCTCGTCTCCGTGGCACTGACGATAGGTTTCGTGCTGCTAGCTGCATGGATCTACGCCCCTATTGCCGAAGCCAAGAGACTTGCAGAGGAAATCGATCCGGTACAGGAAGTCACATACAAAGACCCAAATGATGACAACAAAGTGTATGTCTTTTTTATGTCACATTCTCGATAAATAGTCATTGACTAATTTTTGTGTATACACAGATTTCCATTTGGGTCTTTAGGTGATGAAGATGCGGAGATATTATTGACGGTGATTATTCCAGCGTATAATGAAGAGGACCGTATTCTAGTGACGATTGAAGACACTGTGGCATTTTTGGACGAAAAGAAGCAAAAGGACCCGTTGTTTACATACGAGATCATTGTAGTCGATGATTGTAGTCTAGACAATACAGTGGACGTGGTCCTGACTCAGGTACAAAAGTACTCTGTCGACCGGATTCGACTTTTGAAGCTGCAAAAAAACCATGGCAAAGGAGGAGCTATTCGTAAAGGTGTCATGCGTGCACGTGGTGAACGAGTGTTGTTTGCTGATGCAGACAATGCTACAGAGATTAAAGACTATGACAAATTGGCGCTTGCATTGGAGAAAGCTCAATCATTAGGGAACAATGGAGTTGTTGTGTGTGGTAGTCGTGCACATTTGGAAGAACAAGCCATTGCTACGCGTAACCCGCTCCGGAACTTGTTGATGCACGGGTTCCACTTGATTGTGTCGACGCTGTGCATTAAAAATGTGCGCGACACGCAGTGTGGGTTTAAGCTCTTTGACCGCACTGCGGCACGTGTGTTGTTTGCCCCGATGCATATAGAACGATGGGCTTTTGACGTTGAATTGCTGTACCTCGCTGCCAACAGTAAAATGACAATCAAGGCGAGTACGTTGTGATTATTAACTGATCGCGGGTAAGCTTTGTTGACTTTTTGTAAGTGTGGTTATTATCATTTGCAGGAAGTCGCAGTACAGTGGACGGAGGTACCAGGGTCCAAACTGAGTGTCATCTCGGCAACTATTACGATGCTTCGCGAAATTATTCTCATCCGTTTGTGCTATTCTGTCGGCATTTGGAAAATCACCGATGGTGGCTTCCGTCTTGCCAAACGATCGTAAACACAATATCTGCTGAGCTGCGTGTTATACAGAGTTTCCGAGACCAGGGCTCAAACTAAAGTCAATGTCTGTATGTTTCAGCTTGACGCTTTAAATGTAAGGAATGATGGCAATCTGGTTTACTTCATGCACTTAGCGTAAAGGCATCTGTGTACCGCATTTTTTGGACTTTTGGAAACAATGTAAAGATAGACATATTCTCCGTACACAAGAGTGCTGAACTCTGTATGCATTCACAGTGTCCAGAGGGCCTCGCTATTTTGGACATTAGTCATGTTTGAATGAAAGACGCTGCCATTCGTCTCTTTGTCCCGCCAGAAACATCACTGCAGCCATTGAGCATCTTGAAGCTTAGACTGATCTTTCGGTTCATCATGCGATTTTGCAGAAGCGGAATGTCGTCTATCATACCAATACGTCGGACAAACTATATCTCTTATTTGCATATCTTGCAGAGTTCGGCTTGTCCGGGGCAAGGTTCAGCACTTGTTGCTTGGTTCGCTGTGGATGCCAGTACTGACCTTTTTTTCTATGTCTTTAGCGTTGCCCAGAGTGTTTAACCACGAGCGGAGCGCGTCTGATTCTCGGTTCATTTTGCGATAATCTTTCCGCCGTTGGCTCCACGCCGTCTTTTCCGACTCGACTGCAAGTGTAGAGCTAGACTCACGAGAACATTCTTGACTTTTTGTGTCTTCTGCCTCGAGTGCCTTCCTCTTGTTGTCTAGAGCATAATATTCATCCAAGCCCCACACAATACGCTTCTGCTCCTCAATTTCTTCGATATCATCAGCCTCCTGTACATGATTCATGAACTTACTTAGATCGGTATTGTGTCTCTTCCTGGGCCGATGCTGTTCTTGCTTTCCACTGAAGTACTTGCTGACCCTTTTTGTGCTACGTGTTGTATCTACTCTTTTAGGTTTCGCCGGTGTTGCGAAAACGCGCTTTCTCTTCCGCAAGTCAAGCTTCTTTGCGTCGTACTTCACTTTCTGCTCAGATTGCGCTGTTTTGTCTTCAAATCGATTTCTCCGGGACGCATTGTCACTATAATAATTTTTCTTCAAAACAAACTTGTCGTGAGGTCGCACATCCGAATAGTCGTCGGCGTTACCTTTCTGAGTCCAAGTTTTTCCTTTCTTTTTGCGTTTGGGTGTTAATATTGTATCTACCACACCTTGTTGACTGCTTGTAGTCTTGTCTTCATCCAATGTAACATTTGGCTGTGTCAAGAATACCTGCATCAGTTTCTTGCTTCGATTATTTGACTCTTCTTGTTGCTTCATTGCGACTTTTCTCTTTGTCGATTTCATCGCATCCGAAAGACTCTACACACAAACAAGCTGACTACCTGAGACAACCATCCAGCACTGCCATTCCGCAATTAACCCGACTTCAAACCTTATGCAGCCCAGCATTCAAACGATCTGATCGAGTCTCACCCTCTACCTCTCCATCCTCCAATCTAAACGTCCGCAGCTTTCGCCACTTGGCATCTAAAACCCAAGAGATCACCCCGTCTCAGCTTCAAACTTCTTTCTATACTTCCAAAACACATACATCTCACCGACCATCCGACGAGATATCAGTATCGATCCGATCTCGCTTCCTTTTGAGCATAATAGTCAGTGGGAGCCTAGAAAAGAAAAGGTTGCATCCATCACCACCACAAAAAAGTAAATTACTTCGCTCCTTCTCGTCATTTTTGCAATATACTTTCCAGTCATACATCTCTTGAGTGTCCACTTCAATCGGAAACTCATCATTCTTGTGATTTACGCGCAGAATTTTAGCAACACGATGACCACGAGGATCTCCCGCTACAAACGTCTGTGAGAAATGTATCAATTGCTTATTATACGCCTTGTAGACCGAATAAAAGCCTAGAAATTTCTACACTCCTACATACCATCGAAAAGTACTCGATCGTATCACCTGGAAAGAGTCTCTCTTCCGGTAACTCGGACGCTGACAGCCCAACCATCCTCTTCCCACCGCCTGGAATCTATACCAAATCGTGTCTATACTATTAAAAACCTTTATACAATATCATACCGATAAAATACCGACCTTGCATAGCTAATACTGACAGAACCCGAGATCAGTATCAGATATTCGCATGAGCTCTGATAATTGCTGGTCTCGTCGAACGGGGAACGACATTCTCACGTACTCTCGCCACTTCATTTCTCAGGAGTATTTGCAGTGGAATGACACGTTGGTTCATGTAGTCAATTTGGGATCCATTACTACCTTTTTGTCGCAAAGTCATGGAAATCTGATGTTGATTTTTGCTGTGGACGACGCGCTGGTACATGAGCAGATACCAATTCAAGCGTACATGATTAACGTCATTCGCATGGCTGTTGAGCTTCTTAGTGCTGACGTCGAAGGTATTAGCGACGAAGACACTTTTTGCATCAAGAGGCTAATGAATTGCACCGAACTAGATCAGCATGTTAAAGAAGTTTTTACTAACCCAGTCGAGTATGAAACTTTGAGCGATGGCTGCACGAGGCTGCAATTCCGGCCTTATCATGCAGATCATCTGGAGCTGCATGAGTGTGCGTGGTGCCCTTCAAACATGTGCAAAGGCAGCATCGTGGAGGTTTCGATTCGCAGCACCAAGCCGTACTATCGAGTAATCTACGTTGGTAATGGTACTGGGGACTGTTGCTCTGCGTCGTGCTTGTCCGAAGAACGATGTAGTACTGGCGCGCTCCCACTTACTCAACGGAGAGCCTTACGGAATGCAAAGACAAATCAATCCTTACCCTGGCGTCGTCCAAGCTCCTGTCGCCCCTTGGAGCACAGGCTACGACATTTATCGCCATTTTGTACAGTTTTGTCAGTCTCCATATGTCATCTCTCATGCCGTTCGACGACTCTCAGGCAGTGTTCTCGTCATCTTCGATTACGATTGGTCGCTGGTCAACGAAAACTCTGACACTTTCATCTTCCAGAAGCTATACCCTGAGCTTCTTTTGACTTTGCGTGGACGACTCGCAAAGCAGCCATCGTGGACGAAGATCATGGATGACATGCTGGGAGATCTGGCTGAAGACAAGCCCGATACTTCTTCCGATATGATTGTGGCGGCAGCCGCCTGCGTTCCCATTCAACCGCACATGCTTGATGCTCTACGCCTCGCGGCACAGCAATATAACGCAGACGTCAAGATTGTCAGCGATGCCAATTCCGTTTACATCGAGTCTATGATACAACACTACGGTCTCACGCAGGAAGTGAGCGAGGTCATTACAAACCCTGCTTCATTTGAATCGCTGGATAATGGACGCAATCGACTTCGCGTTCGTCCGTATTACGAAATCAATACTGAACCCCACGGTTGTAAATGGTGTCCTACAAACATGTGCAAAGGTCGCATCGTCGACACCCTCCGCAGTGCTCACCCCTATGCGTCTGTTCTCTGTGTCGGAGATGGTTCAGGCGATTTCTGCGCTGCAACGCGTCTAACGAAGTACGTTGCTCGATTGATGCTATCTTCGAATAGTCTGCCTAATGCCTGGGCTTTGCATCTACTAACTTCACAGGAATGACGTCGTGTTTGCCCGCGCGGATGAAGCCGGTGGAAAATCATACGGGCTGCAGAAGCGAATTGACAGCAACCCTACGCTGGTTAAAGCGTCTGTGGTGCCCTGGAGCACGGGTGATGACATCTACCGCCATTTTGCGCAATTCTTCCATGCTTCACTCAGTCAAGGCTAGAGTACTTGCATACATCATCACAATCCATCGTTTCTTTTGTCCAGATGCCGTGCTGTATCAACGCCACAATGAAGGATCGGTATCAATCTTTGGTTGAAAAGGAAAATGCCTCAAATCGAGATAGTGGGTTTATTATGGAAGATGTCGGTCTCGTTCGATTAAACAAGCGTCGACACAGCTTCCGACAAACGAGGACGTCCCAAGAAAGTGCGGGTGGTAGCGTTGACAACTAGACTGTTATTTTGATGCGCATCCCCCATGGCTATCATTCGAGCGATCGATCGAAAAGTCGAACGTGTTGATGCATGCGGTACATCATACGATGTGTTTGAAATGTTGTCCCGCACACGGCCCAATAATTGCATAAAGCTCGAGTTGAATCCCAGTTCCGGCGTAAAGTGCAAAAGTTCCAAGCGCGAGAGTGTGTAGTGCTTATCCAATGGGATCTCCATGTCATTAAGTATCACAGGCAAGATAGGTTTTCCCTTGTCTTCTGCGAACGCCAACTGGTCCTTAACAAGTTCACTGTCAACAGTCTTCCTTGACAATATGACAATGAACACCTCACACTTGAGAATGGCCTCTTTGGCAGCGTGAATGCGCTCTGTCATGTCCATATACGATTGCGTGCCATCCATCAGGCACCTTACATGGTTATCTTGTAGTCGGTCATGCAGACGTTTTACAAACGTGTGGTGGTGGTCACCGTGTGAAACGAACGCAAACCTGATACTGTCCAATGTGGCTGGATTCCAGTCCATCACATTCTCACCAAAGCCAACAACACTAGTACCATTAGCAAATCCACGGTTACTTCCACCGACAATGTTAGCCTCGCGACGCTTTTCAATCTCATCACGAACGCCGTCCAGCAAAAGACGAAATTGTGCTGCATATTGCTCTTCGTCGTATTCGTACGTGACTTTGCGCTTATTGACGTTGTTTATACACTTGATAGCCGACTCGAAAGGCACCATTTGCCGTGTGTAAATGTACACTTGCATTTCATCTATGACAGCAGCACCCTCCGTAGAGACAGCGATGATCGGTTTTTGGAGTTGCTTAGCCAGTGCAAGCTCCTTAAGACACCACTCGGAAACTGGATAGTCCTCAGTGTACAGGCAAATGATCACCTCAGCATTTTTGATGCCGCGCGCAATCTCTTCACGCCACACTGACCCACCTCCGATACCAGTGGGGTTCATAAGGTCAAGCCACGAAGTAATATTAGCACGCTCAAGGCTGTCACGAATTTTCAGCGCAAACTCGCTGTGCGAATGCGTATAACTGATCATGACGTCCCGATCGCCCGCAGCCTGCTTGATTTCAAACTGCAACTGCGTCGACGTAGTACAATCCACCGGTCGGTAACCATCGCGGTTTGTCTTCATTACGTCTGCTCCTGCGTCCACGAGTGCTAACGCCGTACCCTTTTGTTCACATTTCATAGCAATATGCAAGGCACTATCGCCGTTGCAAAGGCAATCGTCGATATCTGCACCGTGCTGGACGAGACACTCAAACAGGTGAACGCTTACATTTTTGGAAGATGCAGCGCATAGCAGTGGGGTGCGATCGCGATAGTCGCGCAAATTTACATCGGCACCCTTGCTTAGCAACACACGAACAACCTCGAGCTTGTTCACACGTGCCGCCCAGTGAAGAGGTGACCGACCAAAGATGTCCTGAAAATCTGGGTCAGATCCAGATTCAAGCAGCATTTTAACGGCTTCAACTGCACCATTGATTGCCGCCCAATGTAATGGTGTACGGCGATGCATGCCTGTGTAACCATACTCACCTACACAATTAGGATCAGCACCAATTTTCAGTAGCTTCTTTATATTCCCTGTGCTGTCCTTGGCTGCAGCTTCATGAAGAGGCGTCAGAGCGACGTCAGCGCCCCATTCTTCCAATTCATGTGCCACAGGAAAGTTGCCACGCATATAGGCCATTTGTAACACTGTGAGCGTGTTCATATGGCCAGGATCCGGCACGTCCAGGTGATTTGCACCAGCCTCGAGGAGTAACGTAACGATGTCGGGGTTGTCGGCCACAAAAAGTGGTGGTATTCGATCTGACCAGTAGGATGACTTGGACTTGAGATTCACGTCCACGCCGTGTTCGATAAGCCACTGAACAGCTTGGATCTGTCCTGTGCTCACCGCGCAATACAGCGGCGTTACAAGCGTCGTGCGGAAGATTGAGGCAGCCATTTCGTCTTCGGACGTCAACGGCTTGGACACAAAAAGTTGCGCAAACGTCCAGAAAAGATCACCAGTCGTAAAACGCACGCGGGATACCTTGTCATAACTATCTACACGAAAGCCGGCCTCAAACAGCAACTGAAGTGCTTGTACATTTCCTAAATAGGCAGCCACATGGATTGGGTTCTTCTTCGAGCGACCGAACAGCTTCAACACAAGTCTGGCATCACTATACATTTCATGCGCGAAATCTGTACCCAAGTGTTCTTTAGCGTACTCCAGCAGTGTCTCCATTTTAGTCACATTGCCCAGCGATGTCTCCTTATACAGATGTTTGCGCAAGTCATTAATGACACGCGTGCGTTCCGACTTGTACTTGCTGCTTCGACCTTGAAGACGTGATCGGATACCACCCGTCTGATCCGTTTCCTTAAAAGCACCGAGTTGCATACTAAGGTGCTCTCGAAATCGTGCAAAATACGTCAGCACGACAAAATTGGTAAAGAACGTGATCACTGCAAATGTCACGTATAAGTTTGCTCCTACACTGTTGCAATAAAAATTGTTACCCTGGAAAACCGCGTACGCAAAGTACAAAATCACAAGCAAGCTGAACGCGAGCACCACGACACTCAGCATCTCACAAAATTGGAAGAAGACGGACCTCTGAATTTTCTGTCGACCGCTTCCACCTTGACGTCGGTGGAACGGCTCAAAAATTCGAAGACCTGACGCTGGCAAGCCGATAATTACCAGCAAAGGTGCCACATGATACACCAGCATTGCATCTACTACTATAGTGTCGCATTCTCCACAATAGTTTGTCCCCGAATAAGACGCTGTGGTCTTAGTTCGCTGGAACGCCAGAGCGTAGCTTACATTTCGTACGTAAATACCTCCATATCCAATAGACTTTGACCCCCAGAAGACCGCAATGCCTGCAGTGCTCAGTACCGCTACAAGCAAAGTGCTCGTACGTAGACGCCATGTAAAGTACGAATTACGGCCATATCCTGAGCCCAGGAACGTGTTGGGCAGCATCTTGGACGTCCCTCGAGGCCTTGCAGCCACCGCGTCATTGTCTACGTTGCCCATATCTCGAAGCACTTCATCTGTCGAGCCGCTAGGCAACGGTGTGGACGTACGTGACGCTTTATTCATTGATGACACGGGGCCAGTTGTCGACGGACCTTGCAAACTCCAGCGATTTCTTCGCTCATCGTCGTGATTAAAGAACGAGCTTTGGTCTGAGAGCGTGTGATAGTCCGTAGTCTCTGTCATAATGTCACTGCGTACTCCAGAAATGTCTGTGCGTGGCTGATTGACTTGCAAATGACTGGAAAATTCTATGTCACGATTCGAATGAGACAAATGGACTGACGTTTAGTACAATGAAAAGACTCTCACAAACTCACTTTTATAGCTTGACGTTGGAGGCACGAGCTCTTGCGTTTTGTATACTACTGACTTGAAGAATAAAGCGGCTCAACGAAATGGTCTTTAGCTTTTATTTCGTGCTGAGGTTTAGATGAGCCTGTAGCGAGATGACTACAATACAGAAGAACTTTTAGCTATGCAGAAATTAATATTCTTACCTTTTCATACTGAATACACATTCTAAGAGCATAAAAAATTATAGGAACTCATATTTCTACCACACGCTTTACTATTACTACCAACCACACCATTACTTTTAATCACTTTTTACTATTTTTACCATTTGATTACGACACCACACCAGGCTCGGTACTGATTGTGTTGGGAGATTCTTGATGCGCTTTCTACATTTAAAACCTGACTGAGAAGTATTGCGGAATACAAGCGTAAATTGAGGTCTCGTGTGCTGACATGGGCATTGCGTGCGTTGCAGTTTCTTGGTTTCTAATAGCGCTAGTATACGAATGTTTCTTAATATTTTCCTGCTACACTGGATGGACATTCTTGTGAAGAATTTACGGCATTTGTTACTGGAATTACCAAACATGTTTGACAAAGTAGCGTAATCAATCTGTATCAATGAAATGCTAGTGCTGTCGAGTACCATCAAACACTTCAGCCTTATCTGCATGACTGTGACGTACCTGTCATAGCACCCATGGTAGAATTATTAGCCTTAACTTTTTTAAATGAGGACAAGAGACCAAGACGACGGGCGAAAAGAAGAGCAAGAAAAAGGGCAAGAAGCATATTGAAGTAAATGAAGAAAGTGGGACCACAACAAAGTGACCATTTAAAACTGGTTGTAGCGCCGCACAATTTTTCAATGCGATTAAGAAAATGTGTAGTGCAAGCGACGAGATGATTAAAGTGAACGCGACTTTGTTACACCCGCTCACCATCTTTTCCCATGGTGTAACGGGCTACTAGTCACACGAGTCCGTTAGGTATATGATAAGTCTTAAAGGGTACGTGGTATCTACTTGGGTGAAGCACATCAATGTGACCCACCGTCGTGAATGTGGTATCTATGGATGGAATCACATGCAACGGGGATGACGCCAGTTGGGACTCTGTGTCATGGTGAGGCTTCAGACGGACGTCATCAGCAAGCTTAAATATACGTTAAGCTCGTACGTAAGGATACGCTTCTATAGAGACGCATATCCGATCTTTACATTTAACCAATCAGTAGTTTGATTTATATTTAATGGTTTAAAGCCACTTAGTTCTAAAGAACTAATCTCACGACTAAGAAGTCACCTTGTTGTAAGAAACTAATTAACGACTAAGAAGTTGCTCTGTTTAAAGGAGAAGGAGGGACTTCTAGTCGATAAGCTAGAAGCTTAGAGGTTCAGAGAACCAACGCACAGAGTTCAAGACAAGCTAGAAGCTTAGAGGCTCAGAGAACCTACGCACAGAGTGCAAGACAAGCTAGAAGCTTAGTCTTAGAGAGACTTGGGATCTTAAGCTCAAAATGAGAACTGATTTTATGTATTAAGATTATCCTACTCTAAGTACCCTACAGTAGATTAATTACTATAATAGTAACTATGATATGCAGACTGTGATGTGTCGTCCAAACATCTGTGTATGATGTACTTAGTACAGCGATATCGATTATCGAATCCTAATCGATAGGGCTCATACCTAATACCTTTCAAAAAGAGAAGTATCAAGAATAATTATATGCAATATAGAAACTTCAACCGTAAACTTTCGGAAATGATGTTCCAACAGACGTGTAAACCCGTTACAAATTATGACTGCGATGGTCACGCTCGTATCTGGTGACGAGAGCAGCGTTACGAGAACCAATGCCTTCACATTGAGAAACTGGGGGGTGCTTTGGAAGTTTGATGACGAGATAATATATTTTCGGTGGATTCAATAACGTTTGACTGGATTCTAGAAGCGGTTGCGATCAGCCGACTGTTGAAAAAGCTGTTGTGTTCACGGAAGGTTGGCGCTTCAAGCGTGCACGGTATGAAGCTGAGGTTAGATCAACACTTCAGCGCCTCCTAAACTTCTTACATGCTTATGATCGTTTTCACATTGTTCATGTCGCTGCTCGGCTCAAATCGATGGAGTCGCTGCTCGGCTCAAATCGATGGAGTCGCTGCGAGCAGGTTTCTGCACACTCGGAAGGCGTCTACGGGTCTTTTTCTCTTGTTGCCGTGGATCTGAGTGTGTCGAGATGCCGCCGCTGAATACAGATCATATCAGCACCTCGAAAGCGCGTGTCCAGCAGTTGATTCCATAGCACGAAGTCCGAGTAACGTTTGCCAATCGGTGGTTTCTTCCTTCCGACTCACGAAACACTTTGTTCGTCTTCATTGGCAGTCCCCTCCTAAATAGGTGTCACTACGGAAAGTTTAACGCTTCTAGGATTCGCATTCGATAAACAATAGCATTGGTTTGCTCATCTTCAAAACTCTCAGTTGGCAGTGAATGGATCTCTTCTTCGACTATGGCATCTCTGTGTGATCAATCATCTTTATTTTCGCATTGAGGGTCTTGGTTGGTAGTCTCATTTACTGATGCTTCTTTAGTACGAGCTCACGTGCTCACATCGACTACAATCAAACACGGTGAATAAGCCTTCTGTGTCACGCAGCGCACATCTACAGAAACATCACAATCAGCTGCAAAGCTGTGTCAAAGCTGCAAAGCTGTCTGAGTGAGGGTTCAATCATCCTTGGCACATGACGCCCAAGCAGTCGTGGCCACTAGCTTTTGATCTCTTGAATGCACTTACACCACATTAGTCGGGGTATGACTAAAAGGGTGAGCGTGCATACCCAACGGTCACATACATACGATATCCGGGACGCTAACAACTTCAAGTTGAATTCTTGCACCCCCTTAAGCGACAGACTATGCCAATAGCTTCGTTCTTAACTGTCGCAACCCAACAAAATGCCCAACTTCATGTCACTTTCCATTTAGTGGTAGAAGACGTAACGAGACGCAAAAACACTTCTTCTGTCTACGGCAAGATGCTGCGTCTGCTCGCAACTTTTGTACTCTTTTACTCGCTCATAGCTGCCAAGAAACCCGAGACGAAACGCCACACGGCGTTGACGCCACCGCTGTCTCTCTTTCAAGGCGAAGTGACCAATTCTTTCCATCGTCTCTCGATCCCTAAAGGCCCCATCGCCGTGTACCGCTTCGAAGCCGACATTGTGGAGAAAGATGCCAATGGAAACGTGGTGCCTGTACCTACGTACGATGCGTATCTGCACCACCACGTGTTTGGGTCGACACACAAGCAATACGATGCCATGAAGAGCCGCGGGGTTCCTATGAAACCCAAAAACTTTAGTCGCAGTGTGGCATTTGGGGCTGGCACCGAATGTCGGGGCACACCACAGGAATTTTACTTTCCTTATGCCTTTATGACTGTAGAAGGAGAGGACGAGTGGATGGCCAATGTGCACATTATTAACACTCGGGAAATGGCACCAGAGCGTGCGCATCGCTGTCTCGAGTGCCCCTGCACGTCGGAAGATACGTTCACTACTGATTCAGTGAACGGAATCCACTTTCATGCTACTAGTTGCAATCCTCAGCTGCTGGATGAAAAAAACACGGTCTGTTCAGCTAAGACATACCACGGAGGACTGCGGTGCTGTAAAGACGCTGAATATTGCTTGGAACATGGCGAACTGGAGGTGGCCGCATCTAGTAATGCCACTTACTATTTGCGCTACTCGTTAGATTACGCTGAAATTGTGCCAGAAAATCGTCCGTTGTATCTTGCAGCGTGTTGTGATGCATCCGGAGGTCTCGATCACATGGGGAACATTGAGTACGACGTGCCAGCATGCGACCCAAACACGCATCCTGGATGCGTTCACACGCTGTCGACTCGACAGCGACTCAACAGTGGCAGTATCCCATTGTTCTCATATCACCAACACTCACCCGAGCCGGAGCGAGAGGTGGAGCTCGTGTATGCAGTAGGTCACCAGCATCGTGGTGGTCTGGGTATCCAGCTATATGACGACGCTTCAGGCGACTTGTTGTGCGCATCTGTGCCAAAGTATGGCTCAGGCACTGAAGCTGGCAATGAAGACGGCTATGTCATTTCGATGAGTACTTGTACCTTCGATCCGCCTCGACGCATGCGCACAACCGACATTGTTCGAGTTGTGGCACTCTATAACAACACGCTGCCGCATACTGGAGTCATGAGTATCATGTACATGGCACTGAGCGATTTTCCTTTGGAGTATGATGCTATTACCAAAACTTCGGTGACTGTCTCGGGAGATAATAACTGGGGATGGCTGATGCTTGGCGTTCTTGCGGGAGGTGCTGCTTGCGCACTGGCGACGGCGCTCGTGACGCGTTGGAAACAGCGATCTGGATACACTCCGTTACAACCACAAACAAATTAATTAGGTCGTCAGGCACCTCTTTCTCTAGCGTGAATTTGAATAGCACGTCATTTATTTGGAATGATTCTTTCAGCCTGTTACAGATGTCTACTCTTTCGCTGCCGCTTGCATAGCCTTGCGCGCGGCATGTTTGGGCTTTTTAGCCTTGGGCTTCGTTACGTTCGCACTGTTACTGTGATCGTGCTTCCGCTTGTTCAAAGTCTTTCCACGGATTGCAGCGGCAGCTTCCGCGGCGGCCTTGGCTGCCTTTCGTGCTAAGTGCTTGGGCTTAAACTTCTTGCCTAGTCCCGCTGCTGCAGCTGCACGCTTCATCTTCTTGGTCGTCAAATCTCGGTCAAGATCTACAGCACCCTTACGCTTCAGCTGGATGCGCGCTCTAGCGCCAGCAGATGAACGAAGCCCTTCAAATTTTTCTTTAGCAGATTCCTCTCCACGCAAATTCTTGAAGCGCTTGCCGCACACATGTACGCGCAGCTCACGATTCTCCATCTTGAGGTCACGCAGTGAAAGTGTCTTAGCAACCAGAGCCTGAGTCTTGAGCAACAGGAAGCCAAATCCCTTGCCGAGACCAGACTCCCGGTCACGAAAGATACGAACGTTCTCAATCGGTTCCGGTTCTTCTTTAGTCTTAAGACGCTTCGTGAAGAACTGCACCACTTGATCGTCTGTACACTTAAGTGGAACGTTTCCTAGGAAAACGCTACGGCGTGCATCCACCACAGGCTTAGACCGGTCCACGCGTATCTTTTTTTGGACAAGAATCTGTAATGTTTTGCATGAACAACGTTAAACTTCATCTTACTCACATTACAAAAACCAGCACGTACCGTCCCATTGAGCTTTAGTGCAGCATCTACGCTTCTCTCCTCCACAAATGTCACATAGGCGTTGCAATTATCCTTGGCTGTCGTCAGAATCTTCTTGTTTGCACAGACCTTCATCATAAGCTTCTGATTACCAGCCTTGTCCACTGCACAACCAGCAATTGGCAAATTTCGGAGCCGCAAATTTTCCACTTTACCGCAACCTGCAAAGTGGTTTTTTATATCCTTTTTTGTTGCATCGAGCGACACGTTGCCTACGAATACTGTGCGACGAGCTTTCTCATCCTCAATTGTGCTCTCCTTCTCATCCTTTTCCTCGTCTCCATCTTCTATCTTTTTCTTTTTGTTCCTCTTTTTCTTTTTCTTTTCGCCATCCTCAGCTTGATCCTCTTCACCTTTAGCCTCGTTCTCCTTCTTCTTCTTCTTCTTCTTCTTCTCCTTTTTCTCCTTCTCCTCCTTCTCCTCCTTCTCCTCCTTCTTCTCCTTCTTTTCCTTCTTCTCTTTCTTCTCCTTCTTCTTCTTCTTTGTAGCGTGCACTTCCTTTTCCATAAGTTTGGCACTTGCCGCCTTTTCCTTCGGCGTCTCAGTTACCACCGGAACATACGACGCCTTCTTGCCGAAAAACGCGGCGCTTTGCTCGAAGCTGTCGGCCAAATCTGACGGGACCTGATGCTTCATTTGTTCGTTTACAGCTTCCACTACTTCATTCTTAAGCGTTGGCTTCTCCAACTCCGTCGTGGTCTCCGTACTCTTGCTCTTAATCTTGCTCTTCTTGCCCATATTCTTCTACGTTACGAAATAAATCAATGGCTGACATCTCAAAACATCGGAACCAATCATCGTGTGAATATACGCTCCTTTTAACCAATCATAATATGGAATGAAAAAAGAGGTTATCCATATATGAAAAAATACTTTTAAGATAGTACACAATTATTTTCACAGAATAGGGGTAATGTTTCTGGCAATTAATATTTCTACCATACTTGTTACTATCTTCACCACAACTTACAATAACACAACTGTAGTGGAGTGGATTCTTAAAATTGTATGATAAGATCCCAAGCCACTCACTATGCCGGACTGCCGACTTTCGGAGAGGGTACCCCGATGCCGCATATGGACCTTCTCTCATCTTGTACCCGTCTGCTGGCTGGTTGCACTCTTTGAAAGACTGTAGATGTCTGCCTTGAGGGAGGTAGACCTGGGGGGTCTCGAGTGGATATGCTTCACTCGGTGGGTCGGTAGGTGGCCACTCGATCCACCTAGTTGAGAGTGAACATAAACCAAGTTTTTCAGGGAGCTTGTCGTTCCTAGCATTTCCCTTGTTGTTTTCAGGGGTACTAAACACCTGACCTTTGCTTTGCTTCCGGACCGTGAAGTAAGGGAGACCGCTTCCGATAGAGTGTTTTGGGGGGAGAGTGATACTCGATACGAACCCTCAGGCCAAATATCCGGGGGATCTGTCCGCACTTGATTTTAACCACACGACTGTCTACAACGGGGGCAAAATATATCCCTTCTTTGGAACAGGCGTGCGTTCAGACTCGAGTTCCTTCAAGCGCGGCGAAGAAGTGCCAAGAAGATCGCAAAGTGGGTAATCTATAAATATAGTCCTATCCTTGAACTTCTTTACTCTATCCTTGTCTAAAGAACTGGTTCCTTGTGTTGACTGGCCTGATACTTGTGTTGTCTGGTCAGGAGTGGCTGAACCTCGAGGGACCCAGGTCAACTGATGAGGGACCGGGTCTCCGATGAGGGACCAGGTTCATTAATGAAGTGCCGGGGTTTACCAATGAGAGGACAAGTTCTACCGTTAAGAGACCGAGTCTTCCAATGTTAGACTGGGTCTTCGGATGAAGGGCCAGGTCGACTTCTTTCGGAACATTTCATTGGTATTTTAATAGTGATCCTCCCGTTGCTGGTCCTTCAAATAATTTTTAGCCAGAGGTCGCTTACCCCCGTGGTACCCTCTCTCTCCGGTTCCCTTCCCTGATGAGCGGTGCTTTGGTCCTTTCATCCAACCTGCCCCTGAGTTCTACATTTTCGGAAAACACTTCACCCCACAACACCTCACCACACCACACAATATCGCGGTCAAACTCAACACACAGACCGTCTTTGCGAATCGAGACGCGCTTATAGATCATGTCAAGAAGTATGGGATGGAGCAGGTATTGCTATCACAATAAAACGATCGGACAATGTGCGCACCCATCCGCTTGTGGCACTAGGTTGTGACCTTTGCGGCTCATTTTCAAAAGCAAAAGTCAGTCATTTTTCCAGAAAAGAACCAATGCGAAACCGGGACACGATTGACTGTCTGTAGGTGGAAAGCAGTTAGATATCAGCGGAACGATAGATAGCATTTTAAAAGTGAAGTGTAACGAGCACAACCACACCACCTCAACCAACCTTACTGGACATCCAAGTTGTTACAGCTGATTCTGTCTAAAAATTATAGCAGCTGGTGTGCCTACGCGATGGCAGTTTGGAGCGACTCTTTGTTGCGCATGCTGTCTCTGTAGCGCTCTCCGAACAGTTTAGTGTATAACTCTTGTGAGACTGCACTTACAAGACCAACCGGTGCCGGATGTCGGTTTAGTACTTTGCTGGCCGTACTCTTTACATTAGCTTTTATATTGACTTAGCTTTTAACCAACTTGAACACCCAGCTTAACCTAATTTACAGTTTTTAAGCGGCGAAGCTTAACTGATTTTTTGTGGACTTTGAAGAATATTGGCCAGTCGTATGGCAATGATGCACTTCCGGATGTGGTAGTCTTTAATGCAGATGCATCATTAGCAGCATTGGCACGTGAAATGTAACGGGCTAAATATGCCCATATGTTACACGTACCCGTTTAGTACTGCACACTTAACGAGAAGTCCAAAAAGGTACGTTAGTACTTAAGACCTGCCACTTGGGTGCGGCACACCAATGTGACCCACCCTCGTGTATGTGACATCCATCAACAGTATTCACATTGGATAAGATGACGGCCAGTCGGGACAAGGCGTCATCGTGACATCACAGACAAACTTCATCAGCGAGCCTAACTAGCTCGCCACTTATGGATGCGCATCTAAAGAGACGCGCATCCAATCAATGCACATATTGACCAATTATCTTATAAAATGTATGAGGTATTTATATTAGATATAAATTAGTATTTGTCTTTAGCTAAGTGCACACCACGCTACGGAAGTTTAGTAATAGCTATCGCGACGTAGTCTAGCGTTTGTTCCTAAGCTCGTTGTTCAAGCCGCTTTGCAGACCAACAAATTTTATCACAAGCAGGCGAGGCTGAGACATTTAATCGCTTCCTCATTTGTGCCGAAAGTGTGTGTGTTTGTTGTTGAAAAGTGCAAGTTGCACTTAGCATCAACACCCAAAGCTTTAACATACGCTAGGATTCATGGAGTGTTGTAAAGGCTTATCCTATGGATGTAATAAGTCTAAGATAGGAAGATGGGGATGGTTCTCACTAGTCAATTGGCAAAAAAACTGACGAGGCCCCGGTGAGGGCCGAAACGCGTCTGGCACGCGATAATATAGCAGTCAATCATCTTAACTTTAATCTTACTTTTTAACACTTTTAGTCAGCTTGTAAAAGGACCGTCTACATGTAGCTCCTGGCTCCCGCCACCTTTTGTGCTTATGGCGCATTGAGAAGTATGTTTTCGCAATGACAAAGGCGCATTTTAAGGAAAACGACCTCTATAAGGCACTCCAACAGCTGTGGACTGGCCTTTGTCCGACCCGTACACCTAACCAGTTCCAAGTACGCGAGGATCACAATTTCCCGAGTTTTCCGATTCGCCGGCAGTATGCACGTATCTCAGTGAAACATGGTTTGTACATAAACAGAAGATTGTCGCAGCATGGACTAGCGATTGCCAACATATAGAGAATACATTTACATCGACAGCAGAGTGCTCATGCATCACTGAAGCGATACTTGCAGGTCATCACTGTCGTCCTGAACATCGTTTGAAGAGCGCATTGCCCAGCTTTTAACGCATCAAGTCAAAGAATTTTGCGCCTCTGGTGAGACGCAACAAACCAGAATGCCGCATGATGTACGAAAAATTTAGGCATTTGCAAACTTAAAAGGCGTTATATCACAACACGCGTTGCGATTGATCAATACCCAGCTTTATTTGGAGGTTTGCAGCGCCGCTACCGACCAACCATTACAAGATGCTGTGAGGTATACCGCACAACGCTGGGCCTACCCTGTGCTAATGACATAGGCATATGGTGAGGAACGAACCAATCGATCTTAGTTGAATTGCACACCATTAGCATCTGCGTATTTAACTTAACAGTCAGGTGAAAAGTCCAAGCTCTATCACGGAGTTGAGCCGAGCAGTGGATCGGCTACAGGAGGTACCAAGATCATCACCCACAGCCAAACGCACGATCGCTTGCGCGCTGTTAAACAAATTGCTAGCTGTTCAGATGCGTTCATCGGAGATCCCGCTATGGTGAAAACTAAGAGCAATTGGGACGAAAAACAAGCAGAAGTCGCGGACAATACGAAATCCATCCGGCTTTGAGCATGCCACAAAACGTCGCCGTTATGCAGTGTGTGTGGTAATTTTCAAACGTGGCAAACACTCATGCTGTTAGAAGCTGAACATGAAAGATATGATGTGCCTGGAGGAGGAAAAGACTTGCCTAGAAAAGGTAAAGCAACCCGCATTCAAGCCGCCAAGCATTCCGAGCTTTTACGCTGGAGAAGACGTGACGGGCGTGCCTCCTGACGAACACTGCGAGAACAGCAAAATGACATTTCAGATGTTGGGTTTATTGGAAAGTAGTACATCGTATCTAGCTGGGTACAATATGTACACTGGTGATGTAACGGGCTCAACGTTACACGTACCCGTTAAGTATGCGATACTTAACGGGCAGGTCTTAAAAGGTACGTAAGTACTTAAGACCTGTCGCTCGGGTGAGACACACCATGTGTCACACCCTTACGTATGTGATATACACTAGGTGTATTCACATTGATGGGGATGACGCCCAGCTGGGACTAGGCGTCATCAAATGACGTCAGTCAGTTACGTCATTGAGCGAGCTTAAATATATTTAAGCTCGCACGTTGGGATGCGCATCTATAGAGATGGCACCCATCATTACATATTAACCAATCAGTAGTTAGATTTATATTTAGTTAAAATCTATTAAATATAAATCAGTCTTGAATTTCTTTAAACCGAAGCACCACGCACGAGAAGCTGAAAAGCTTCTACGTGACGTCGGTGCCTTCTTGTTAAGAAGTTCGTTGCACTCTCGCTTAAGCGAGAGGCAACTGGTGGTACGACTGCTCAAGCAGTCGACCAACCTCCCAACCACCCTCGCACGCGAAGGTAAGACGGTCTAACCGCTTCCTCGCTTGTGCATAAGGTGTGTGCTCGTAGTACGAGGCAACTTCATAGAAGTGCCCGTCTACACTTGGTAGCACTAGTAGTCCTTCCCACGACCCGTCTCTCTGAGCGTGCGTGTGGTTGACATGGTCCTTAATATGGACTGGAGTGACTTCCCTCACCTCTCCCAACATCATAGGGAGTTGGCAGAGCATATGGCGCAGGGACTTGGTGAACAAGCCCTGGTCAATCTCTTGCATTGTCCTCCTGAGCAACATGTTGCTCAGTTGGAGCAATTTAAGGCGTTTGTGCTCGGACAGCGTAGAAACGCGTCCGAGGTAAACAGCCAAGCCACCGCTGAGTCCATCACTAAGACTCAGGATGAGCTTAGGCTTGAGCAG